TAAACTAATATATCCCAAAACATAAAGCTAATATGTATCACCACATCCACAGGGAAGATATATTGACTTCCACAGGGGAGTGTTCAAGCCCAGCCACTCCATTCATCCCAGGGTCCAAGATGTTTTATACGTCTTCATGTTCTGCATGTATATTATAAAAGCAATACTTGCAGGTTTTTGTGTGTTTTTTTTTCATTTTCCAAACATGCAACTATGTTCTATAACCAAGGGCCCCCACCCACCTGCCCACCCACCCATGAGGATGTCCTCCGGCTTCTCCACCATCACTTTTCCTCCTCTGGTTGCTCACACTGCCCCAGGCTACCTGCAGGGGTGAGGGCCCTGCTCTCTCCACTCCTGCTTGTTCGGCCCCCTTCCAACTCACCCCATCTTGGCCCCTGGCCCTAATCCTTCACAACCTCCATAGGTACACGGAGACAAGGTTGTTGCGTTTAACAAACATGCACAAAAGGTTAACGGTGTTGGGGGAGAGCATCCATCAGGGACCATCTGAAAACAGAAAATATGGGCTGTGGCTTCCTTGAAAAGTAATCAGCCATTGTCTTCACAAAGCGTTTCCCAGGATCCCGATCTGTCCTTGGCTCAGCTTCTCTGATGTGCTGGGCTTCTCCTCTTCCCTTGACAGACCCTTCTCCCTACTCCAGCGGCCAACCTCCAGTCCCCCGCCCCCATGTTTCACTTACTTTCTTATGAGCCTCGGTGTTTGCCTCCTGCCCCCAGACTGGGCTCCGCACTTGGCTTTCTCTGTTCAGACACTCCTGCAAGTTCTGATCTTTGCCCCAGCAGCACAAATAACCATGGAGGCTTTGAAATTGTCATTGGACACTAAAGTCTTAGGCACGGCTCCCACCCACCCTCTTTTTTTTTTTTTTTTTGAGATTTTATTTATTTATTTGTCAGATAGAGTATGCACACAAGCAGGGAGAGTGGCAGGCAGAGGGAGAAGCAGGCTCCCCCCTGAGCAGGGAGCTCGAAGAAGATTCGATTCCAGGACCCTGAGATCGTGACCTGAGCGCAAGGCACATGCTTCACCGGCTGAGCCACCCTGCCGTCCCTCCCACCCACCCTTTGACCAGAACAACTGAGAGTCTTCTTCATGTTATGGTGTTACTGCCTTATCATGCTACGCACACCTGGGAGATCCGGGAACTGCCCCCTTTCCTCTCTCCTTCCCTCACGCACTTTGAGAATCACTGCTCTAAGCTAACAGTAACTGGGAAGGCAGCATGTGCGTTTGGCTTCAGAACAACCAGGTTGGAAGCCTGCCTTCCCTATGACTGGCTCTGCTGTTCTGGGCAGGTTTCTGCAGAGGATTTCAGTTGTCTGTGTCCACACCATCCATTTTCCACGTTCTCAATTTCCAACCCCTGTCAACCACCGCTGTTCTAGCAGGAATCCATGAGCTTCCTGGACGCTAGTGAGTGGATTCCAGTTCTTTGCCTGCAGGAATTGGTTCAGGGGTCATGTGTTTGGCCAAACAGCAGTCTAGATGTTGCTGTGAAGGCGTCTTTTAGATGTAATTGGTCTTTAAATTAGTAGACTTTGAGTAGGGCAAATTACTCGCCGTTCCGCTTTGAGCAGAGCAGAGCGGGGGTGGGCCTTGCCCAATCAGTTGAAGTCCTTAAGAGCAAAGACTGGGATTTTGCCCATGATAAAAAAATATTCTGCCGCAAGATTGTGGCCTAGAAATTCTGCCTGAGTTTCCGGCCTGCTGCCCTGCAGAATTCAGACTTAAGGCTGCAACCTCAACTCTTAACCTGAATTTTTAGGCCTCTGGCCTACCTTCTCATTGCCGACTCGCCAGCCTCCACAATTGAATATGTGAGATAATTCCTTAAAATAAATCTCTCTGTTGTGTAGATGTGTATAAATATACCATCCAGAGTGCTGAACTTCTTTCTGTCTTAACATTTGGGTATTTTCTTTTTTTATATACATACACATGAAAGAGAGATTTATTTTATCTGTATAAATATACATACACACATTTATAGGAGATGTGTGTGTGTGTGTGTGTGTGTGTGTGTGTGTGTGTACTTCCTATTGGTTCTGTTTCCCTGGAGAACTCTGACTCACCCAGGTAGGTATGTCACCAAAGCTGGACCAATTAGAGTAAAACTGAGGCCTTTTTCTGGGAATGCTGGGTATAGCCACTCTCTTTCTTTGAATGGTGGACTTGGAACAGCTGCCATGTGCCGGCTCTGGACCCAAATCCCAAGACCTAATGCAGGCACCACCAGTTACCACCTGTGGGGCTGCTCCTTCCTTTCCTTATATGTAAGGTGGGATTATAGTATTTACCACATAGGGTTATTGTGAGGTTTTAATAAGTACTAAACACTTAGAACAATGCCTGGGTCATAGTAAATGCTCAATAAATCCAAGCGATGATGATGGTGGTGATGGTGATGATGATATACCCAGCCCAAGGAAAAAACTGATACATCAAGAGAGCGAGAAAATGGATTCAGAGCCCTGATGGCTTGTCAGATCTCCAGGTCAAACTGAGCTTGACAGGCAACCTACCTCTGGACACAAGCTCATAAATTCCTTGTATTTTTACTTGGGTTGAGTTTTTATTTCATCCAGAGTGCTCAACAATTTCCTGTCCTGTCAGTTGGGCAGTTTTGTTTTGTTTTGTTTCAGACCCATAAGCATGAGACCCACCCTTTTCCCAGAAAATGGAGCTACCTATCTATTCTCGTTAGGGTGATAGGAAATCCTGAGATTTCTGTGGCTCCAGGAACCCTGTTTCTACCCATCAGCAGGGAGGTACCTTCAATTCCTCAGAGGTGATTTACTCTCCAATGGCAATTGCACAAATAATTCCTAGGTGGGGTGATTTCACTAAGGAGGAGTCAGGAAGGGCCTATCAACGATGGAAAGATGAAGGACTTAAGGAAAATGCAAATCAAAAACATAATAGGATAGCATTTCAGCTCACTAGTTAGGTAAAAATGTAAAAGTCTCAAAAGCTCTAAGCGCTGAAAAATATATGGAGCCAAGGGGACTTTTACATACTGCTGATATGGGGTTTTAAATTGTAGTCTACCAAACAAAGGTATAAAAATGGACATTATCATGTAGAGCTGAAAACGTCCTTATCCTGTGAGATGAGAATATTACTACTGAGTCTATCATTAGACTCTCAGACAGATGTCGTGTGAGACACAAGAATATTTAGCACTGCATTGTTGGTAAGAGCAAAAAGACTGAAAACAACTGATGTATCCATACACCTGGGGAGTGGAGAAATAAGATGTGGAATATTTACTTAAAGCATTACAAAGACAATTAAAAAGAATGAATTACAGCTGCATGCATTGATGTGGTTAAATCTAAAAATCACAGCTTTGGTTAAGAGCACTTGCAGAATACATACCAAATATCATTTACAGAAAGTTTAGAACCATACAGTAATTCATACATTATCTAGGGATTTATCAAGGTTGCTTCATTTTCTGGGAAAAGCATTATAAGTCTTGTGCTTGTGGGCCTGACACAAGTCTGATGAGTGTTTATTGTTGGGGTGGGGGAGATAATGGTTTATTTTCTAATCCAGCGGTGAGTACATGAGTGGTTTGTTTTTGTTTTTGTTTTTGAGAGAGAGTGAGGAGGGAGGGACAGAAAGAATTTTTTTTTTTTAAGATTATTTATTTATTTGTTTATTTGCGAGAAAGAGTAAGATGGCATGAGCAGGGGGAAGGGCAGAGAGAGAAGCAGCCTCCTTGCTAAGCCCCACACCAAGCAGGGAGCTCCATGTGGGACTCTATCCCAAGACTCTGGAATCACGACCCCAGTCAAAGGCAGACACCCAACCAACTGAGCCATCCAGGCATCCAGGAGAGAGAGAACCTTAAGAGCACGCCCAGCACAGAGCCCATGTTAGTGGGGGGGGGGGGGGGGCGGGGAAGGATAGGATCTTATGACCTGAGATCATGACCAGAGCCTGAAATCACCAGTGGGATGTTGAACCAAACTAAGCCACCCAGGCGCCCTATGGGTGTTCTTTTTTAGCCTTACATTACGTATATTTATTCTTTTGTGTGCATGAAATATGTTATAACTTTTTATTGTGATAAAATATACATAACATGAAACTCAGCATTTTAATCATTTTTAACTCCACACTTTAGCCCCAGTTAAGTACATTCAGGTTAGGCAACCAACGACCACTCTCCGTCTGCAGAATTTGTTCATCATCCCAACTGTGTTTCTGGCACGTATCCGAGAAATCAGTGCCCAATTCTATGTCATGAAGTTTTTGCTGTGCTTTCTTCTAAGAGGTGTATAGTTTTCAAGTTTAGGTCTTTGATCCATTTTAAGTTCATTTTTATTTACGGTGTGGTAAGGGCCCAACGTTCGTTTGCAGGATAATACATTTTTAAACGAAGAAAAGAAGAGAGAATATTAGCTCCAGAAGGGCCCTTCCCATTTGCACTGAGGAAACTGAAAAAGAAGTAAAATAATACGCGGATTCATACAGCTGGTTGAGGGCAGCAACGGGGTCAAATCCTGCCTTTCAGGCAATGCAGCGCTCTAAATTCCCAGGAGCCCGAACCAGGAGCTCCTTCCGGAATTTGGATCTGGTACCCAGGGCGCGCGCACCACCTCTTTTCCGCCCTGGCTCCTCCCCTTCCCCGCCCCAGGGGAGGGCCCACGAGGCTCAGGAAATGCGGGGCTTTGGAAAACTGGCGCGGCGCACGGGTGGGAGGAAAAGCCCGGCAAATTGGTGTCGTCTTAGAGACCATCAGCAAAGGGTTGTAAGGCGCAGACTCCAGCTTTCCCAGAATTCCATACCGGGTTTTCCCTCGCGCTCCAGGACGGGGAGGAGCCCCCGCCGGAGCCCGCTCTCGTACCCGGCTCGGGGAGGGGCGTGGGGCGGGCGAGTGTGCTCGGCTGCGATTGGCTGCTCGGAGCGGCGCGGGGTTTGGCGGGAGCTTTACGGGCCGCGTCTGCCGGGAGCTCGGTAGACTAGGATGGCCCCGTCGCGGCGGATGCGGTACCCCGGGCGGGGCGGGTGAGTTGTGCGGCCCGTGAAGACCCGGACCCGGGACAGGCTTTATCTCTTTCCTCTGCGGCGGCGTTTGTGCCTCTCGGAGCTGTTCGTGCTGCTTTGCGAGGCTCCCTGGCTCTGCCGCCGCGGCACTCCCTCAGGCCTCGGTTTCCACCTGTAAAATGGGAATGATAATCCCGACTACGCTGGGTTGCCGCAAGACAGAGGAGTTAACCGCTGAACACTGTGCCTGGAGGGTGCAAAAGGACGTTTGCTAATGTTATCTTTGCGTGGGTGGGTGTAGTCTAAAGTAGACTCAAAATATTTTGAAACAAGATAACAACAACAGCTCGCCGAGTGCCAACTGCTTGCCAGAATTTACATTCTAGAAACGTTTGCACTGTGGCTGGTCAGTAAGTCAGTATCTTATTTTCAAGACCCTGGTGGTTTTATAAGAGACCTTAAAAGCTGAACATCATCTCCAGCTGGGGGACCAAGCTGCTGCTTGTTATTTTAAAAAGGGCACTGCAAAATGGGTCAAGCAGTTGGTTTTTGTTTGTTTCTCAAAAAGGGCGTGCATTTAAATACAGGCTGCCAAACCACTCTCCAAAATATTATTTTTTAGTGGATGCTTTGACAACTGTCTGGCTGGCTGTGTCTTGAGAGCATCCAAAGGCCCGGAGTGTCCCTGGCTAAAGGGGTCTCGGCTTGCTGCAGTGGGTACACAAGGTCCTACATACGGGCAGGAGGTCCTGGGTGGTGGGAGGACTGCCTGGAGAAGGTGGCGTTTGTAGACGCCAGCCGACTGTTTAAGGTGAGCAGAGCAGAGCATAGGGGGAAAGGCTGGAGCTGGACAGCAGGCAGGTGGCATAAACTGGGATTAAATTCCTGCAGCTGGGGAAGAACAGAAGACTCTCCCAGTAGAGGGGAGGATCGGGAAAGAATATGGGCCTTAACATCACCTGAGGAAAGTTAAACTCATTCTGATAGGCCAGGTAGTTTTTGTTTTTCTCCCCCACCCTTCCTCTCTCTCTCTCTCTCTCTCTCTCTCTCTCTCTCTCTCTCTGTGTGTGTGTATGTGTGTGTGTGAGAGAGAGAGAGAGAGAGAGAGAGACTCCTGAAATCCACCAAAAATCTTACATATGGTATCACAGACGTTTCCGTCTTTGGGAAACCTCACCTTGCTCCTACCCTAAGGTAAGGAGGAAACCTGACTTTTTCTGAAGCACCGAGGAGGCAGGAGCCAGCGGAGAGGAGGTAAGAAGTTAGGCGATCTGGGTTTTAGTCCTATTTCTGTTACTTGGTTGTATGAGCATTGATAAGTCACTTTTCTGAATCCTAGAATCATTGATGCCATAAAATGAATACCTGTTCTACCTTCTTCTTGGGAGCTGAAAATCCAATAAAGTAGAGGTTCTTAAAGTGTGGTTCCTTGCATTTGTTAGAAGTGCAGACTCTCAGATCCCATCCCGGGCTTGCGGAATCGGAAACTCTGGGGCTGGGGCCAAGCAGTCTGTTCGAAGCCCTCCAGGTGATTCTGATGCTGGGAAGTTTGAGAACCACGGCTCTAAGGAGTTCAGCCCTTTCGTTTGTGATTCAGTCATGATATTTTACATCACTGTACATAAATGTGCTCTCCACACATGCAGAACAACAGAGTTTATGAAAATACAATCCCCAATGTAATCTTATATTTTATATTTTTTTATTTCCTTTTTGAAAACGCAGAAAAAAATTTTGAAGGACATGATGGGGCAATGGATGAAATTTGGATAGACTGTAGATTATATAATCATATCAGTGTTTCTTTTCTAAATTTGGAAATTGTACTGTGGGGATGCAATAGAACACTTTCTTAGAGACACACTGAATTATTTGGGGGTAAAGGTGCATGGTGTCTCTAGTTGACATATACACACACAGAAAGCATAGGAGACAGAATGTAAACCATTGGTGAACCTGGGTGAAGGACAGGAATGTTCTTATACTTGAGATTTTTCTGTAAGTTCGAAATTATATCACATACAACAGTACTCAAATACGGATTCAGACACACTAAACTGATTTTGTGACCCACAGACGGGTGTCTGCGTGGCATGTTGTAAAGTAAGAGACTGGGTACGGAATTTTCCAGAGCATCCCCGGTGCCCTACTACAGTGCTTGGTGTGCAAAGGATACTCGATACCCATTCACTGGCGGCGGTATTTCCCATGGCTCTTATTTCCAGTTCGTATTTTAGTGCCTGTTTTTCCATCTTGTTTAAGCTTGAAGATCTACAGCTTTATCCTTTTATGCTAAGGCCCAGTGGAGGGGCCTGAGGCAGTGGGAAGAGGGAAGCTGAATTTGAACCGATGCACGTTTTAATGCCGGCTTCTCCTCCTTGGTCCTGTGCTGCTTTGGGCGAATCTACATCTGCAATATAGGATTCACTTCTGCTTTATAGGACTGTTAGAGCCAAATGAGAAAATATACACCCAAGAGCCAGATGAGGGGTGGAACGGGTGTCAGGTGCTTCATAAATGCCGCTGGACCTCCCTTTTTAGTTCTCCAGAAACGGTCAGTCCCTGCTATTGACTTGTCCTCAGGGGCAAGGATAGCCGCAGGATGGAGAATGTCTGTGTCCCTGAGGCAGACAGGTGTGCGACTTTCTATACCAGTGATAGGATTTGACCTGTAAAAAAGTACCTGTGAGATACGGGTTCTGTTTTCTGGAAGGATTTGGCCATAACCTGACTTTCACTGGGTATGCACTATTTGCGCAACTAGCGAGAAATGTAATTTGGGGAGAAAAAATGCTTAGAGAGGATTGCAAGTTAGTGTGCTTCCCAGTTATTTTAACTATTTCCTATTTGTGTTTTTGCTGTTTAATAGTGTGAGATCTTCAAAGAACACTGTAGGAAGAACGCATTCTGCAAAAGATGTAAGTTATCTTCGTATTTTAATGTGATTCTCTTGTAATCGATGATACGAAATAACGTGTTTCGAGGGAAGCTTTGAATCTTCTAGATTTCACTGGGTAAACTCATTTTTATTGTGATAAAAAGCATATTCCTTTTCCTCCCACCTTTACCAGTATACTGGAAGAAATAACCACTGTTAACATTTTGAATCTTTTTTTCTGAGCCTTGTTTTTTTTGTTTTTGTTTTTTTTTTTTCCAATTTGGTTAATTAATATCCTACAAAAATGTGTTCAACTGTCTGTATTTTGCTTTTTTCACTCAATCACTTCTGCATTTGTTTCCCACAATTGTTTGTGATTTCATGCTGTTGATTTAGTTCATATTATAGTTTCTCTTTAGGGTCTTAAAATAAATCTATGTTAAAAGCGGGTACGTTTCTTCAGCACTCTGCAAAGCTCATTTTATATTATTTTCCAATGGCTCATCTACTTGGCAGTGGAAACCCACATCAACGACATTGAGAGTGGCTGCTTTCAGGGTGTAGGGAGTTGGGGGCTGTCTGCTCTCTGTCCTGCTCTCCTGTCTTTTTTTTTTTTTTTTTTTTTAAGATTTTATTTATTTATTTGACACAGAGAGAGAGAGATCACAAGTAGTCAGAGAGAGGGGGGGAAGCAGGCTCCCCGCTAAGCGGAGAGCCCCATGCGGGGCTCGATCCCAGGACCCTGAGATCATGACCTGAGCCGAAGGCAGAGGCTTTAACCCACTGAGCCATCCAGGTGCCCCTGTCTTTTTAGCTCTCTCTCCACCTGCTGCCCTCGCCCCAGCCTTCAGGGGGTGGCTCTTGTCTGACCTCTGTCTTCCCTGAAGACAGCTATGTGCCGGAGGCCAATTTGCTGCAGGGAGGAGGGAAGGTCTGTAAGTGGGAACGTTGTGTTTGTTGTTGTTGTTGTTGTTGTTTGGTCAGTTTATTCCATCTTCTTTCTATCTTCCAGAATTTTCTTATGCTTTCTCATCTGTTAATGGCACCTTCCACATTTTCCAGAGTTGAAATGGAAGTTTTTCTCATTTTCTGTATGTTTTGATCCATTCATGAGGATTTGGGATAGCAAATTTTGTGGGGCTTGTTAGTATATTGAACCATAAACCCTTGTCTCTCTCCTTTGGTTGGCAGTTTCCAGCCCTGTGGGTCCTTGTGAACTCTCAGGTATATGGGCATATTTCTGGAGCGGGGGCCCGGAGCTCTACCGAGATCCAGAGTCGGCAAACTGTGGCCCATGGGCCAAATCTTGCCTGCTCCCTGTTTTTTGGACAGCTCTGTGAGCTGAGAATGATCTTTATATTTTTAAATGGTTGAAATAAAATCAGAAGAAGAACATCTCATGATAGGGGAAAATGACGTGAAATTCAAATTTCCATATTCATAAATAAAGTTACTGCAACACAGCCCTGTTTATTCTCTCTGTGTCGTTGCTGTCTGCTTTCAGACCACAGCAGCAGGGCTGAGTCGTTGCAACAGGTGCAGAGCCTAATATATTTACCGTCTGGTCCCTTACAGAAAAGTTTGCCAGCCCTTGCCCCGGTTTGTCAAAGGGGTCTGGTGTGTCTCCCTGCAACAGGTGTTAAGGATCTCTTCATTCGGATAATTCAGAATTATCCTCGCTAGATAAATCAGCTCGAAATGGTCCTGTTAGAGCCCATTCAATGACTTTGCTTTGTCTACTTTTAGAAAGCCGGCCCAACGCAGAAGCCCATTGATGTGTTTGATTTCCCCGATAATTCTGTTATTTCCAGCATTGACAGGCTGGGTGAAAATGAGAAAGATGAAGAACCTTACGAAATCTTTGGTCAGTATTTTAAGTCTTTTATCCTAAAGTTTTATGAAGTAGTTTATCCTCAAACCTTTAGGCCAGTTACTGGTAAAAACATGGGAATATCTTCAGATATAAAAATCAGCTGTCTGCCTATGACTGTAGTGTTGAGGGGAGTACTTGATAATTTGAGTTAGTTTTCCTCACTTCTAGGTACGTTGGGACTACGAACTCTGTTAAACATTTATCAGAATGGAACTCTTCTGGTAGCATTCGTCAAGCCAGTTCTATCGGGACACCCATCATAGCATTCTGTAACGAGGAGAATGTGAACTGTGCTTCTTACTCCATACCACCAACAGAGTCATTCAGTAAGGGGCCTAAATTTAGGGAGGAGAAGAGGGGTAATTTTCCCTTTTCCTTGATACACCGAGGCAGAAGTTTCCTTCAGGAGAGCGAGGGGAGAACTTTGCCTGTGTTCCCTGGAGTGTGAGGAAAACAGGGCTGTACTGGGTTGACCAGGAGTACGTGAGTTGTCCAGCTGGGACTGCTTCTGGCTGTACCCTCTGTGGCCGCTCCACAGGCCAAAACATGGCAGAAAGTGCCAGGTGCCCCCACACTGAGATCAGCAGTGATCAGACATTGTTGCTGGAAAAAATCTTAAGGGCATTTTGAAAACCTGTACTCTGACATATTTTTCAGTTGGTCTCTCATATCTTCTAGTCTGTTTTTTTGTTAATAAAAGAATAGTGTACGTTTTATAAGCATTGTCAGAATACATCTTTTGTTATGGCTTGAAGTGTTTTAATTAAGGAAATTGAAATGTAAAATATCTGAATCCAAAAGAAACCACATAATTTTTTTATTTTTCATTTTTATTATTTTTTAGAGAGGGGGACGTGGGGAAAGGGCAGAGGGAGAAGGAGAGAGAGAATCTTAAGCAGGCTCCAGCCCAGCACGGAGCTTGATCTCACCACCCTGAGATTTTGACCTGAGCAAAAATCACAAGCCAGATGCTTAACTGACTAAGCCCCCTGGGGCACCCTCACAGAATTTTTAAAATTGAGATGTAATTCACTTACCCAAATTCCCCATTTTCAAGTACAATTCAGTGGGATTCTTGGTGTAGTTACAGAATTGTACAACCGTTGCCCCTGTGTATTCCAGAACCTTTAATCACCCCAGCAGGAAACTGTACCCATTCGCAGTCCCTCCCCACCCCTCCTTCCCCCAGCCCCTGGCAACCCTCCACCTCCTTCCTGGCTGTGGGTGTGCCTCCTCCTGTAAACAGGGTTATACTCTCTTCATTTGTGACTGGCTTCCTTCATTCTGCCTAGTATTTTCAGGGTCCATATGTCCTGTAGTAAGAATCAATACTTTGTTCCTTTTAAAAACATTTTCGTTCAATAATCCATTGCTTCAATACTCCTCACTTTGTTCTCCGTTCGTCACTGTACACCTGGCTTGTTTCCCCTGTGGGGCCACGAGTTATCCTGCCGTGAACATTCATGCGCAAGCTTGTGCATGGGCCTGTGTTTCCCTTTCTCCCGACTTTCCGATTCTGGCCAGGACTGTCCAGTGCTGTCTCACTGTGTTTTTGTGGTAACCTATACAGACCATAAAACTGATGGTTTTCACCATTTTTAAGAGTATGGTTCTGTGGCATCAGTGCTGTCCTCACCGTCCACCTCCAGAACCTTCCCACTTCCCCCTGAGGGTCTGTGCCCGCTGGACCAGCAGCTCCTGACTGTCGATACCTCCCAGCCCAGCTTGTCGTTTCTAGAAATTTGACTACTCTAGATACTTCCTATGAGAGGATTTCTACAGTATTTTCCCTTTCATTCCTTTTTTTTTATCCCTCCATTTAACAGTGTGTCTTCAAGGCCCACCTGTGTTGTAGCATGAGTCTGAATTTCTTTTTTTTTTTTTTTAAATATATTTTTTAAAGATTTTACTTATTTATTTGACAGAGATCACAAGTAGGCAGAGAGGCAGGCAGAGAGAGAGGGGAAGCAGGCTCCCCGCTGAGCAGAGAGCCCTATGTGGGGCTCGATCCCAGGACCCTGGGATCATGACCTGAGCTGAAGGCAGAGGCTTAACCCACTGAGCCACCCAGGCGCCCCTTGAATTTCCTTTTGAAAACCGAATCCTGTTCCATCCTCTGTGTACCGCCATTCGGCTGTCTGTGGACACTGGGGTCGCTTTTATGTTGTGGTGACTGTGAATCAAACCTCTGTTCGAGTCCCTGCTTTCACTTCTTTGGAGTGTAGACGCAGAAGTAGGGTTGCCGGATCCTGTGGTCACTTTTTTTGAGGCCTCGCTCTGCCCTCCTCACGGAGGCTGCAGCATCCACATCACACTAACGCAGCGGTCCGCCAGGGTCCCGGTTCCCCGCGGCCTCACTTGGGTTTCGTTTTGACGGTGGGCATGAAAGGGTCCCCTCGCAGTGGTTTTGAATTGTGTCTCCCCAGTGGCTAATGATCTTGAACACCCTTTTACGTGCTTGTTGGCCATTGGTGTGTCTCTTTTAAGAGCTGTCTCTTCAGATCATTTATCCATTTTTATTTTTGTTTTTAAAGATTTTATTTATTTATTTGACAGAGAGATCACAAGTAGGTGGTGGGGGGAGGAAGCAGGCTCCCCACTGAGCAGGGAGCCTGATGTGGGGCTCGATCCTGGGACGCTAGGATCACGACCTGAGCGGAAGGCAGAGGCTTAACCCACTGAGCCACCCAGGCGCCCCCATTTATCCATTTTTAAGCTGGATTATTTATCTTATTAAAATTGGGTTCTCGGGGCGCCTGGGTGGCTCAGTGGGTTAAGCCGCTGCCTTCGGCTCAGGTCATGATCTCAGGGTCCTGGGATCGAGCCCCGCATCGGGCTCTCTGCTCGGCGGGGAGCCTGCTTCCTCCTCTCTCTCTGCCTGCCTCTCTGCCTGCTTGTGATCTCTCTCTGTCAAATAAATAAATAAAATCTTTAAAAAAAAAAAAATTGGGTTCTCTTTCTCTGTATGTGAGAGTCCAGCATGGATGACTGGCTGCATATGGAGATTCAGGATTGGTTTATTTCTTTTTTATTCTTTGTTATTTGCAGCATCAGCAAATCCCTTTGTCTGGCTGAGGGCAGCACAGAGCCTATCCCTACCTTTAAAATCATGCATTGATAGTGTTCCTCGATTAAGCAGCTGTTTGGTGGGACACCTGTCTAAAGTCTACACCAAGAGCTAAGATTTGAGCATGAAGCAGTGGTCGCTTGGCTCTTACCGGGCACCCTGTAGCTACCCCTGGCCGCCTCCCTCCCTCCCCCAAGCTCCCCCTGCCTGAGGAGGGAAGAGTGTCCTCCTTTACTCTGAGCCATTTTCTGTGCCTTTCCAGCGTGGGGTCTCACGTAGAGCCCTGACGCTCCTCCCAGTGAGGACAGAGGACACCGGGCTTCCCACTCACATTTCTTTCAGCTCATTGAGAAACTCCCACAGAGCGTGTCAATACAGTAACACAGGTGAACACTGATAAACGTCCACGTGTTTACTAATGAAACGGTTTAAATTGCTTCGCGTTGAGGTGCGAGCTCAAAGACCTTTGGGGAGTCAGTCGCTTGTGCGGTGGGAACGGCTCACACTGAGGTTTGGAACAATGAGAAGCGCTGCTCAAGCTGCCAGACTTTTAAAGTTGTGCTTTAAAAAAAAAAAATCTCTTGTAGACCCTCCTCTACACAGCACCGCGATATATGCTGATGAAGACGAATTCTCCAAGCACTGCGGGTCCTCCGTGCCCTCGACTCCTCAAGGAAAAGAGGCAGAGAAAAGGTACGATTCTGTTTCGAGTGCTCGTGGAGCCGTGGTCAGTGGGATCTCCCCGAGAAGCTCTCTGAGACAGGCGCTTACATGACTACAGCTTTTCGAAGATCTCTGGAGCCAACTTGGGTTTTTCCTCCAGAGAACCGGTGCACAAAAACTTGTTCTCAGAAATTAACATGACTTGTAGTAACTAACTGTAGGCACGTATTTCCGGTCACAGGAAACAGGCCTGGGGATGTAGTTACAGCAGGGGGACTACAGCTAATACCTTGTACATTGGAAAGTTGCCGGGAGAGTAGATCTTAGCAGTTCTCGTCACAAGAAAAACAAATTTTGTAGCTCTCTGTGGTGACAGATGTTAACTAGAGTTAACCGAGGAGAACATTTTGCTGTGTGTACAAGTAGCAAAGTATCGTGTTGTACACATGAAGCTAATATGTCAACGATACCTCAATTTTAAAAGTCAAATTTATTTTTATTTTTTTAATTTTTTTCTAAAGATTTTATTTATTTATTCGACAGAGGGAAAGATCACAAGTAGGCAGAGAGGCAGGCAGAGAGAGAAGGAAGCAGGCCCCCTGCTGAGCAGAGAGCCCAATACGGGGCTCGGTCCCAGGACCCTGGGATCATGACCTGAGCCAAAGGCAGACGCTTAACCCACTGAGCCACCCAGGCGCCCCTTGCAGGTTCCTTACGTACTTAGGATACTAACCCTTTATCATTTGCAAATATCTTCTCCCATTCAGTAGGTTGTCTTTTAGTTTGGTTGATTATTTCCTTCGCTGTGCAGGAGCTTTTTGTCTTGGTGAAGTGCCAGTAGTTTATTTTTGCTTTTGTTTCCCTCGCCTCAGGAGAAGTAGCTAGTAAGAAGTTGCTACTGCCGATGTCGAAGAGGTTACCACCTGTGTTCTCCTCTAGGCTTTCTATGGTTTCAGGTCTCACAATTAGGTCTTTCATTCATTTATGTGGACACGAAGGGGAGTCAGGCCATCAGAGATGCACTGGGGAGAGAGTAGAGTTTAGCAGGACTCATGGAGGCATCAACCTCTAGGCCCCAGATCCTCACCAGGGACGTTTGGGTCTTTGTTCCTTGATCTCCTTCTCCCTCACCTCTTCGTGTGCACAGGTGAGGCTGCTCTCTGCTCTCTCCTCTCCACCGCCCGCAGTGTTACTCTCCTGGTTTTAGCTACCCAGATGCCACTGCGCTCCTTGTCTGTCTGTCTGTCTTGCCCAGCCTTTCTCTGGGGCCTGCCATGTCCTGCAGATTGGCCATATGTCCCTAGATGCCCACGGGCACCTCGGATTCAACAAAGGCAAAGCCAAGCTCAGTCCTTTCCTCTCTCACCCAGTGTCAGCAAGATCCTTTGATATTCTCTAGATTAATGGTCCTGCTGTCACCTGAGAGTCATTCCCGACAGCCTCTGTTCTCTGACCAGTCTTATTTGTTCTCTCCATACCCCAGCCATGGCCTAGGCACTTGGCTCCTCTCACCAGCGTCCCCTGCCTGCTGTCCCTTGTCTCCAGAACTGCTCTCTCCCCTCCAGCCCACCCGCCCCACAGCTTCCAGTGCCATCTTTCTGAACTGCCAGTCTTCTCTCCCTGGTTTGCCTGCTGGCTCCAGGGGGCCCCCATGTTCTGTCTGCATGGCGTGGAAGTTGGCATTAAATGAATGTTGAGTTGAGTGACAAAATGAACTCTTATCTCTCTTTGGAAATTTAGGGTTTTGTTTTGTTTTGTTTTCCTTTTCAAAGGGAAAAAGAAGGTCTTCCTTTTTATATCCCCTATGATGGGCCTGGTGTCTGTGGACTTAGCTTTCAGTTCATCAGATGATGGCCCATACAGTTACCCGGGAGTGGGAACACGGAGAAAGTGCAGTTCTGGGGCATGACCGCAAGGTGGTGCAGTAATGGCGCTTTCTTGCGCACCAAGAATAAACTTACGGGGCCTGGGCGTGGGATGGTGTGGGAGATGACCCATAAATCCCGAAGGTGGCAGACCCGCCCAGGACAAGCGGAAATCTCCTCACGGAACTGAGCTTGTTTTAATATTGGACGAGCACCTTCTACAAGACATGTGAAAAAAAAAAAAGTATAAGATACTACTAACGTTTTGTTCTTTGGTACAGGTCAGACACTTACGAAATTGAAGCAGGTGAAAACATGTCTACAGAGATGAGGGCAAAAAAGGTATGTAGGAGTGTTCTCTTATTTTGCAGCAGATTTCCTATTTCGATGGGACGCCAACAGAGAAAATGTGCTATAACCACATTTTACATACAGAATGTTACATTTCAGAAGATACTTTTACTGTAAAAAGGGAATATATTTTCATATCTTAGGTGGTTTTATTTATAGAGGGCTCGAATGTCTCTGTCCCTAGTTGATTTTCATAGTGTTCATGTCATCTGTTTAGATCACGATCCACAAAGGCCGTGTGAATTGTGGGGAGTGTTTATTTGGACTCTTGGGTCTGGGTTGTCCACACCCCTCCCTGCCCCCAGCAAACTACCCGGTAATCCCGTTGCCACCTTCCTATTATGTTCGAGCTGGAAGGTGGTGAATGAGCAATGTGGACTTGACCAGGGCTGTCCACTATTGCAGTAAGGAGGATAAAGCATTTGTATTTTCTAAGACAGTAATGCTTTCTCGCCATAGCCAGGAAGGAGAGTCAGGCCCATTAGCGATGACTCTGAAAGCACTGAAGAAGAGGATATAAGAAGGAAAGTTCAACCAGCAGAGAAAATAAGGACACAACCAGATACACCCCATATATCCTCGGAGCTTCCAGAGAAACCGGCTGAGTCGGTCACTCCTAAAAACATCAGACCCCTTAGCGCCAAGTCCGCTGTTGGAAAAGAGCCCGAGACAGAACCACGTCATTCGGTAAGAGCCTGTCTGCCATCGCCCTAGAGGGAAGAGGAGGGTTGATGGAAAAATGTTTAGGAGGAAAACAGCACTTCCTCTCTTTTCCTTTGTTTTTTTAAAAAGATAAGTTCTGTGTTTTTGTTGTAAAACATATTTGAGAACATTCAGAAGGTGTGGAAAGGAAGATAAAATCAGCTACAATCCCTTCTCCTGAAAGGAGCCACCCTGCTCCTTGGTCCAGGCTCCTTAGCGCCTTTCCTGCACTTTCCTCACCCCCGGTGACCAGCCCGGGCACCTGTGTTCTAGGCTGTGGTCTTAGCGCGCGCCGTTTCGTTCACGAGTGTGCCGTAGTTAATCTCTTACTAATGAATGGTTGCAATTCAAAAAAAATTTTAAGCGCTTTCATGAATTTCTTTCTAGCTAAATCTTAGTATACGCCCTCCATCATTTCCTTAGGAAAAAGTGGCTAAGATAAGATGTCTGGGTCATAATCACTCTGTTTTAAATTCTTGACATTTAGTATCTTTTGGTCAAGTTCTCAATATGTCCTTTTATTCATTTGCTTTAATGTTTTGAATAATTCATCCTCCTGTTCAAAAAAAAATTTTTTTTTTTAAAGATTTTATTTATTTGACAGAGATCACAAGTAGGCAGAGAGGCAGGCAGAGAGAGGGGATGGGAAGCAGGCTCCCCGCTGAGCAGAGAGCCCGATGCGGGGCTCCATCCCAGGACTCTGAGATCATGACCTGAGCCGAAGGCAGAGGCTTAACCCACTGAGCCACCCAGGCGCCCCTCAAAAAAAATGTTAAGTTTAATGTGTTCCTGCTGCATCATGGTCCGCTTACCGTCTTCCTCACCCAGGAAATATAGATGCAGGTGACATTCTATATAGGTTCTTATGTGTTCTTCCAGAGTTTCCTTCTGCCCGTATAAACAAATATGGATGTATTTTCTTTCAGTTTCCTCTTTCTACACAAATAGAAGCATATTATACATGTTGTTCTGCCTCTGATTGGTCTATCTTGGTCAACATCCCATATAAACTTGAATTTGCAGTTGTTTAAGGTACTCTGGGAATGTGCTCTCAGGTCAGGGTGACTGACCTACGTTCAGATATTATGTCCCCTTATAGGCCTTTAATGGTGGGGGAATAGTCTCCTTTTTACAAAGCAGGGTGTTTGTTTTTAAGATTTTGAGAGAGAATGAGCAGGGGAGGGATGGAGGAAGAGGGGGAGCAAGCTCGCCACTGAGCCGGACCCTGCGATCATGACCTGAGCTGAAGGCAGACGCTTAACCACCTGAGCCACCTAGGTGGTTTTTAATACCCCAATTTTGTGGATTCGCTTTAGTTCTCCAGAGTTTTGCATCATGAATTTTGTAGCTTTGTTGTTTTCTTAATTTTAGACTTAAAAGTTATAGAAATAGTGCAGGAATTTCCCACGTGTTTTTTACCCAAATTCATCTAATTCTTACTTTTTTAAAAAAATAATTTTTAAAAAGATTTTATTTACTTATTTATGTGAGAGACAGAGAATGAGCAGTGGGGAGGGGAAGAGGGAGAGAGAGAGAGAGAGAAGCAGATTCCCTACTTGAGCAGGGAGCCCAGTGCACAGCTGGATCCCAGGACCCCGGGATCATGACCTGAGCCGAAGGCAGAGGCTTAACGACTGAGCCCCCAGGCGCCCTGATTCCGACTTTTTTTTTTTTTTTAAAGATTTTATTTATTTATTTGACAGAGATCACAAGTAGGCAGAGAGGCAGGCAGAGAGAGAGGAGGAAGCAGGCTCCCTGCTGAGCAGAGAGCCCGATGTGGGGCTCGATCCCAGGACCCTGGGATCATGACCTGAGCCGAAGGCAGAGGCTTTAACCCACTGAGCCACCCAGGTGCCCCTGATTCCGACTTTTTACATCGTCAAAGCACAGTGAGTAAAACCAGGACTTTAGGGCACCTGGGTGGCTCAGTCAGTTCATCGTGCTCTGTTTTCTCTTTCTTACGGTTTTGGTGGCTCTGGCATTCGTCAGCTTGTGGTCACATCAACACAGTATCTGCCTTCCATCTTCACGTCATCTTCTCCTTTGTTTCTCGTCTCCCTCTGCCTCTCCAAGGGGCCTTGTGGTGACTCTCATGGGCATGGACATAAGGGGCACCATTCACTGCATATGGGCTTCACTAAATGACCGGCCCTCACTTTCTTCCTTCCTTCTTCCCTCCCTCCCCCACTTTCCCATCCTTTTCCTTCCTTCCTTCCTTCCTTCTTTCCTTCCTTCCTTCTCCCCTCCCTTTCTTCCTCCCTCTTTCCTTCCCTTTTCCCCCTCCTTCCCTCTCTCTTTTTTTATGGAGGCTGGTGCAGAGGGAGAGAGAGAATCCCAAGCATGGTCCACGCCCAGCATGGAGCCTGATATGGGGCTGCATCTCACAGCCCTGATACTGTGACCTGAGCCAAAATCAAGAATTAACCAGTGGAGCCACCAGGCAACACCCCCCCTTCTCTGCACATTTGAAATGGCAAATTGGTCAGTGAAACTGAAAACAAAGCAATAAAAGTTTATCCAATTTGCAAATCAGAAAAAGTTTGGGGGGAAAAATCAGAGTCACAGGAAACTGTGTGACAATACCAAAGGATCTAAAATATATATATAATAAGAGTACCTAAAGAAGAGTCAGAATGGGGTAGCAAAATTAAAAATATGACTGGAATTTTCCAACTTACAGATCCAAGAAGCTCAGTAAACCCTTAAGCAAGATAAAGCCATACATAAGCATATCAGAGTTAAAATGCCAAAAAAACAAAGATAGGCAGAAAACCTTGACAGCAGCCGGAGAAAAGGGACAGAATAAATACAGAGGGAGCAATGACAAGTCTCACAGCCAGCTCGCAGAAACAAGAGAGCCAGAAAACAACAGAAGGACCCACTTAAAGAGCTGAGGGGGAAAAAAAGTCACCCCAGAATTCTACATCAGTGAATACATCCTTTTAAAAAGGGTGAATAAACACACTTTCAGATAAAGAAAATTTTAGAGAATTTGTTGCCAGCCGATCTTTGTTAAAAGGATGCTACAGGATGTTCTTTAGGCTAAGAAAAAAGGTATCAGAAGGAAATGCAGATCTATAGGAAGGAGAAAAACACAACTGGAAAAGAAAAATCAATCAAAGGATTACAAAGTGGAGTGTTTGGAGGGGGTGCCTGCTGGCTCAGTGGGCAGAGCAGGAGACTTGACCTCAGGATTGTGAGTTCAAGCCCATGTTGGGCTCGGAGCCTACTTGAAGATAAATTCTAAAAAAGTGGGTGGGTAAGAAAAACTACGTATTTTTTTTCTTCTCGTAATTTCCTTAAGAAACAGTTGTTTCAAGCAAAAATGTCAACACTGTAAGGTTGGGTTACAACGAATGTAGAAGTAAAACCTGTGACCAGAGCAGCACAGAGGGTGATGGATAAAGGGAAGAATGTGGTCATGTCATGAGATTCATGCGGTGGGAAGTAGTTGACTCTCAGGAAGCAGAATGCATGATGTGCTCACATACTGATTCTAAGTAGCCTTTGTTAACTGAAGGATGCACATTTTTCACCCAGAAGCAACCATTCTTTAAAAATTCAGAGGCGTAGTTGAGAAGCCAATTGAGCAAGGAAAATGGAAAACCAAAATATGTTCAGTTAATCCAAAATTAGCAACAGAAGGAAAAAAACAAAAGGCCAGTGGAAAACAGTAAGGAGGATGGTAGACTTGAACCTAATGATACTTAAAATTACATCAAAAGCAAATGGGCTTCTGGAGAGTGTGCAAGAGTGGGATGAAATAGGTGAATGGAAGACAAAGATCAATATGGCCGACTTAAACCCAGCCACAGTAACAGTTACATCAAAAGGAAGTGAACTAAACATTCCAACTACAGGGCAGAGACTGGCTAACTATAGGCTGCTCTGCAAGAAACATGCTTTAAAGACCGAAGCAAGAGCGTAATGGCTGAGTGAGACGGCCTTAGTGTCGTCCCCCTGCCCACCACAGCAACGACAGTGGGGCATCCAGCCACAGAGAACGGTGTCTGTGTGGGAGCTGTGGGATCCCACACCATATGCCCAGGGACCTAAGTCCCTGGAGGGAACCATGTCTTGCCAACACCTGTATTTTGGCCCATTGAAACTGATTTCAGACTTCTTCCCCCCAGAACTGTTGGAGAATTTCTGTTTCTGTTTGAAGCCATCAAGTTGTAACTATAGCAGCCACGGGAAACTGAAACACGACCCAGTGACTCCTCAGTTCTGTGCTCTTTGGTTCTAGAATTTCCATTTAGTTTTGTTTTCTAAATATAGTTTCTCTGCTAAGGTATCCTGGGTTTTTGTAGTCATTTAGACCACCATTTCCTTTTACTTCTTTGGGACATATCTGTGACATCTGCTTTAATGTCTTTGCTCTGGGCTGACTTGGTGTTCATTTCTCTTGAGTATTTTTGTTTTGTTTTGACTGTGGGTCACATTTTTTGTATAACATTTTTAATTTAGTACTTTCGGATTGTGTATTGGATATTGTTGACAGGTTGTTGAGACTCTGAATTCTGTCGTCTTAGGAATGTTGACTTTTTATTCTAATTGGTAGCCTGTTTATTGGCTGATCATCTTTAACTTCTACAAGCTTGGTTTTATCTTTTGTTAGGGTCAATTTGTGGAACGCCTAACATATTTTCCAAGCAGCTCAAACTCTCTGCGACTCAACCTCTGCTTGATAAATTGTTGCATGATAAATTACCACAAACTTTGTGACTTAAAACAACACACAGTTATGACTCACAATTTCTGTAGGTCACAGGTCCAGGCCACCTTAGCCAGATTCTCCACTCAGGGTTCTATGAGTCTGAAATCAAGGTGCTGGGTAGGACAGAAATCTCATGTGAGACTCCTGGTCCTCACATCAGATCATTCAGATTGTTGGTAGAATTTAGTTGGTTGCCTTTGCAGACCTGAGGTCCTTGTGTTCTCTCTGGTTGAAGCTGGGGGGTCACTGTTAGGTCTTGGTCTCGTGGCCCTAACATGGCAGCTAACATCTTCAAAGCCAAAGAATCTCTCGAGTCAGCTACAGCGGGGTCTTCTATACGGTGACCTAAGAGAAAGAACGAGCGTCCCATCTTATTCACAGCAGCCACCCACACATAAGGGGAGGGAGTTCTACAAATCCCTGGGGGGGGGTCATTGTTGAATTCTGTTTACAACCTCCAGGCTCTGTCTTTCTAGTGAATCTGGTCTGAGATTGGTTTTAGGGTTTGTTAGGGTGGGTCTAGGGTAGGCCTTACTCAGGGTAGTGTTTCTTTCTTTCTTTTTTTTTTTTTTTAAAGATTTTATTTATTTAATTGACAGAGAGAGATCACAAGTAGGCAGAGAGGCAGGCAGAGAGAGAGGGGAGGAAGCAGGCTCCCTGTTGAGCAGAGAGCCTGATGCGGGGCTCGATCCCAGGACCCTGAGATCATGACCTGAGCCGAAGGCAGAGGCTTTAACCCACTGAGCCACCCAGGCACCCCTCAGGGTAGTGTTTCTCAATCCTGTTGAATTATAGTGCTGCCTAAAAAGCCTTTTTAGTTTTTTTGTTTTGTTTTGTTTTGTTTTTTTAAATTTTTATTTATTTGAGAGAGTACAAACCAGAGGATGGGGGGAGGCAGAGGGAGAAGCAGACTCCTTGCTGAGCAGGGAGCCTGATGCAGGACTGGATCCCAGGACCCCAGGATCATGACCTGAGCCCAAGGCAGACGCCTAACCAACTGAGCCACCCAGGCGTCTGCAAGGCAACCATAGTTAAAAGCCAACTGGAAGCTTTATTTACTTTTTGAGACCATTTAATTTTTCAGTGTCTCTCTGTATTAGATTGTATACATAATAATTTAGAACTAAATGAGGAGGGTTGCTGGGGGGTTGCATGGGAGGGCTGGGTGGCTGGGTGATGGACATTGGGGAGGGTATGTGCTACGGTAAGTGCTGTGAAATGTGTGAGCCTAACGATTCACAGACCTGTACGTGGGGCAAATAATACATTATATGTTAATAAAAAAATAATTTAGAACTAAATGAGAGTAACAGCCAGAATTAAGTGTTTGATAATACCGTGCTCAGAATACTTAACGTTTTAAGAGAAGGAAAACTTTTCTTAAATAAACATCTTTGCAATTTTTTTTTTTTTTTTTGTAGAAAACTCAGAAAAAGGTGTTTTGTGGCAGAAGGAAGAAATCAAGCAGTGAAGCCAGAGACTCAGGTACAGAGTAGTGTTTTATACCTTTATCAAGCATGCAAGAATTTTATTTTAAAAACTTTGTTTGTTAAAGTAGTAAATTGTAAGTATATAAAATTGCACTTTAAAAAGCTAAAAACATGTGTATTTGTAGTAACTGATTTTTTTCCAACATCTGTCATGAAAATTTTCAACCTACACCAAAGTTGAAGGACTCTTACAATATGTATTTATAGTGTTAGATTTTACTGTTACACCTGCTTTATCACCTCAATTTTTCATCACAGTGTTGAAACCATGCTGAACACATAACGTGGTTTCGCCCTTCTGAATAAGGTTCTTTTTTTTTTTTTTCACTTGGCGTAACTTCTTTGAGATTCATCTGCATTGTTCTGCATTTTTATTGATACAAGTAAAAATTTATTGAAAAATGGGAGGAAAATAAAGCATTTTCTCTCCTTCATTTCTTTTAAAAGATAAGTCATATATGTTTAGAAAATTTGGAAAGTGTAGAAAGGAAGATAAAATCACCTACAATCCCATCATCCAAAAAGAGCCCCCCTGCTTTTTGGTGTATACTCTTCAATCCTTTTACCTCAACTGCCCACCCCAGATGGGATCTTATTCTTATCCCAGATGGGATCATATCTTATCATTAAGTATCGTACAACCCAATTTTACTGGGTGCTTGACCTTTCGCCCACATTACTAAAACCAGATCAGCGCAGTGAGGAATCTCTGTGTGTTCCAGAAGTGATCTATTTATAGATTAAAATTACGAAACTGTAATTAACAAAGAAGAGCTCTGTGACCAGTGGTGTTGGGTGGCAGCGGACCAAGTAAAGGTAGAGCAGGGAGTTCTGAGTCAGCAGTGCGTTAGGCTTTTTTGGTAGAAATGGGAGGACCAAGGAGAGGGCAGTGAGTGACCTTGGAGGGGCGGTATTTGAGCTTGCACTGGCTTAGGAAGTGAGCCGGCTCTTCCCACGTGCCTCTCCAACCATAGCTCTTTTTGGCAATTTGGTGGGACAGCTCTTGTTGTAGGCTTTCAGAACCCTGGGCCTAGAGCCACAGTATGTTCAGTATGTTAAATGGACTTCTCTTAATATTCCAGATCGTTCCGACTCTGAACCTATTTGGTGTCTGAAAGGAAAGAAAGCCAGTGACATCTCGGAGTTTGATGTCGTTTTGTCTGCCTTTGAGAAGACCATCCTGGAGTATGAGTAAGTCTTCTGATGTGATATACGAGCCCAGTGAACGTTCCTTGAAGCATCACTTAGCTCATCCCATGGCTTCTGATGTGTTTTCATCACCTAGTTGATGAATTTTTACATTTCCATTATAATTTTTTCTTTACTCCTGTGAATTATTTAGTAGTATGTTTTGGTATGTCCAAATATGTGACTTCTTAATTTATATTTTTATATTAACCTTGTGTCTTAAAACATGTGATCAAATTTGAGAGACTGGTGATATTTTTTTGTAATTTTGAGGCTTGCTTTATGGCCTAGCACATAATCTGTGGGGAATCTAATTATTGGATCTATGTCGAATCGGTATTGTTTTTCCTGATTCTTTTATCAGTTTATGCTGAATATATTTAGAGACTATTCTGTTAGGACATCACGTTTAAAATTGCTCTGTCTTGTAGTCTGAACATTTTATCCTTCGGTAGTACCCTCTCCATTCCTAAAAATGCTTTTTTTGGTCTTAAAATCTGTTTTATCTGATACCAGTATTGTGTCACTAGATTTCTTTTGCTAAGATTTCTAGAACTTACATTCTTTTTACTTCCTTTTATTTCCAGCCTTTTTCTGACTTTAAAACTTCTTTTAATAAGAGTAAAGTTTAGGGGTATCTGGGTGGCTCAGTCAGTTAAGCGTCTGCTTTTGGCTCAGGTCATGATCTCAGGGTCATTGGGCTACCTGCTCAGTGGGGAACCTGCTTCTTCTCTCCCTCTGCCCCTTCCCCACTGCTCCTTCTCTCTTTCACACGTGCACTTGCGTGCACTCTCTCTCAAATGAATCTTAAAAAAAATTTGTAAAGTTTAAATCCAATGTGTCCATCTTTCTTGACTTCAATCCATTTACATATAATTATCAATATATTTGGAAGAATGTGTTGATATATTGTTTTTAGTTTTTTTGGTTCTCCTTTGATGTTTTTAGTTATAACTTTTTTTAAAAAAATAGAATTTGTAACTCTCCACTAGTAAGATTAGAACTCTGGCAAGCTCTCTTAACTCTTGGTCACCTCTCCCATTCCCCTACCCCAGAGATTTTAAATTCTGGGGTAAGATACATTGTTTTCTCTTCTCTTTTTTTAAGACAGCAGCAAACCTTATTAAGGTATTTATTTGCTCACCTTTATTTCATACATTTCTTATGACAACCTTTGGTAATGTCTCTTTTCTTATTTAAGTGTTTATCCCAACACTTTTGAGTATGGCTCTTTGTGCTGTAAAATTTCTAAACCCTTTAGATTATTTTGGTCATGACATTGAATTTGAAAGACAGTTTAGCTGAATATAGTATTCTAGGTTCCAAATCATTTCCTTAAATACTTTCAAGTCACTATTCCTTTGTCTTCTTTTGCATCTAGTGTTGATTTGGAAAATTTGGTGTCTGTCAGTCTTGTTTATATGTGATCTGCTATTTCTCTCTAAGCTTTTAGAATATTTTGTGTATGATATTCTTTAATTTCACTCTGTTGTGTCTCACTTTTCCAGTCTAAGGTAGTTCTTTTTTACTCCAAAATTAAAAATAATTTTTGTTCTCTCTAATGCTATATCCTTGTCCTCTGCTTTGTTTTTCGAGATTTCCTCAGTCTAGAAACAAGAACTTTGCTAACTTGCTATTTCTCTGGTATTTCCAAAATGCCATATATCCCATCTACCCAGTCCTGTAATGTAGCCATATGACTTTCCGTCTAACATTTCTATTTGGTTCCCTTTATGTCATGTTATAGGTTGCTACTATCATCTGTAGAATATTTATTAGGCTAATTTCAAAATACTGGGTCATCTACTTTGAAATACCTGCTGCTCTTAGAATTTCTGATCTAATAATTTGTTTTCTCTTTAATATAGCTGTGTTCCTCTGTTACTCTAGCCGGTGAGCTTATGTACCTCCGTCTGTCAGCTTTTCTGTCACACAGACAGTGTATATAAGGGAAGATCAAGCCGTGATTCCTGTCCATTCCCAGGAGTGCCAGGGAGGGGGCTGGCTAAGGCCTAGGGAGGAAAGCCTCACTTACCCCACCTGGTAACCTGTCAGGTCCAGGCTTAAGCTTGGCCCTCCAGCTATAAGTAGTATTAGAAGCTGCTATAATCCTTAGATTATCACTCTACAGCCCTGGGGGTTTGGCAGGGGAAGGGGGAGGAGATAACCGCTCTCAGGTAGTCTCCACGTTGCTTTCCAGGCCCCGTAGGCGCAGCCCGGGTTTTACTCTCAAAGGCACAGGGACAGAGACAGACGTTGGCTGCGGCTCTTCGGCACAGCTTGTGCGAATCATGCTGGGGAAGAAGCAGAGGCCAACCTCGACATCTCCCTTCTGGTCCTGGGCCACAGCCCCTGTCCCTCTCACCGGTTCACCCATTCTAAATACCTCTTCCTCTCACCTCAGGGTTTTTCACAGCTTTCCCCATTTTGAGGGAGTTTTCCCTCTTTGGTTCTTCTGGGGTTGGTCTTGGGGAAAGGAGCTAGCCTGTCACGCTAACTTAGCGTCTTTGTGGGAATTGTCTGTTTTATTCTTCCGTAGTGTATGTTCTCTTTGGTACTGTATGCTCTAAAGCCAGTGTCCGGTTAAAATTGGTAAAGGTCTCTTACTAAAGACCATCTCTTGACTGTGTCACTCTTTTCCCACTCATAAATCTCTTCAAAGGAAGAAAAGACTTATAGATTTCTGATATTTTAGCAAAATGGCAATATCTTGCCCTTTAGCATAGTGTTCTTGATGTGCGAAGTGATTTAGAAGAGCTATAGTATTTTTGTTAGCCTTTTTTTAAAAAAATAGGCTCCATGCCCAGTGTGGGACTTGAACTCATGACCCTGAGATCAAGAGTTGCATACACTAGTGACTGAGCCAGCCAGGCACTTCATGGACTTTTTTTTTTTTTTTCCTTGAGTAAATATAATGTATTATTTGTTTCAGGGGTACAGGTCCGTGATTCATCAGTCTTATACACATACCTTTGTGTTTTTGTCATAGTGCATGATTCTGGTAGAATCACTGGTGTTGTTTTATTTTCTTAACCTAAAGTATTCTCAACCACATGAAAAGTTTTATTCAAAATCAAGTTAAATATTTGAGGGTGTACTGTTTTTAATACCCTATATCTGGAACTCACACCTGAATAATTTGCTAAGTTTACAGATTGTAAGCAATTTATCAGTGTATATATATAATTAGGGAAATAGGCCATGAAATGCAGACAGTACAAACATAGGCTATTTTGTAACTGATTCAATTAGTTATTTGTAGGGAAGTGACCAGATTTTTAAGGTACTAGAATTTGAAAAAGTTGTGTCTGACTATCATATGTAGACCACCACCATTTCAGTTGGTATAGTCTACTAAATTTATCATCATTGTAAGCCATATGCAGAAAGATCTAACCAGTTTTCCTAATTTTTTATATGTTTTTACCATCTTAAAGTCATGATTTCATATTTATATTAGAAATACCTTTTTTAAAGGTAGAGCTGATGAACTTTTTAATTGTGAATTTTTACTTTTAAATTTATTTTTATTTAAATGTGCATTTATGTACCATAAAATTTACCATCTTAACCATTTTTAAGTATACAATTCAGTAGTGTTAAGTACTTGGTTTGCTTTCTCAAGATTGTTTTGACTATTTGGTGTCCTTTCAGATTCCATATGAAGTTTAGAATTTTTATTTTCTGTTTCTGCAAAAAAGCCATTGAAAATTTAGTAGTTACTATATTGAATCTATAGATTGCTTTGGGTAGTATGAACATTTTAATAGTATTAAGGCTTCCAGTCCATGAACATGGGATGTTTTTCCTTTTATTTGTATCCCCAATTTCTTTCAACAATGTTTTTATAGTTTTCAGTGTATAAATATTTTACCTCCTTGGTTAAATTTATTTCTAAGTATTTTGTTCTTTTTGATGCTATTGTAAATGGGATTGTTTTCCTAATTACCTTTTTGGATTGTTCATTGTTAGTATATAGAAATGCAACTGTTTTCTGTATGTTCATTTTTGTATCCTGCAATCTTGCTGAATTTGTTTATTCTAACAGTTTTTGTGTGTGTATGTGATCTTCAGGATTTTCTACATATAAAATCATGTCCTCTGTGACAGAGGTAATTTTACTTCTTTTCCAATTGGATACCATTTAGTTCTTTTTCTTACCTAATTGCTTTGGCTAATATTCCCAGTACTGTGTTGAATAGTAATGGGAAGTGAGGCATCCCCACTTTGTTCCTGGTCTGAGGGCAATAGCTTTTAACTTTCACCACTGAGTATGATGTTAGCTATAGCCTTTTCATGTATGGCCTTCATATTGATGTAATTTCCTTCTATTCATAGTTTGTTGAGAGTTTTTATTATGAAAGGGTGTTGGATTTTGTCAGGTGTTTTTTCTCTATCAATTGAGATGCTCATATGGCTTTTGTCCTTCTGTTCTGTTATTGTATGTTGGATTGTATTATGTTGAACTATCCTTGCATTCCAGAAATCCACTTCATGATGTATAATCATTTAAATGTGTTGTTGAATTCCCTTTACAAGTATTTTGTTGGGGAGTTTTGCATTAATAAGGATATTGGTTTTTCATTTTTTCTTTTAGTATCTTTGTCTGATTTTGGTATCAGGGTAATGCCAGGCTCATAAAATAAGTTTGGAAGTGTTTCCTTCCCCGACTTAAATTTCTTGTAAGAGTTTGAGAGGGATTGTTAATTCTTCTTCAGATATTTGGTAGAATTAATTCTCTAGTGAAGCCACCTGGTTTGGGGGTCTTAGATAGGAGGTTTTTGATTAGTGATCCAGTCTCCTTTACCAGCCATGTTTGAACATATTTTTTATTTCTTCCTGATTCAATCTTAGCAGGTTTTATGTTCTTAGAATTTCTGCATTTCTTCAAGGTTACCCAGTTTGTGGGCTTGTAATTGTTCACAGCAGTCTCTTATGAGGCTTTTTACTTCTGTGGCATCAGTTGTAATGCCTGCTCTTTCATTTTCTGAGTCTTTTTTTTCTTAGTCTATCTAAGGATTGGTCCGTTCTGTTGATCTCTTCAAAAAACTATTAGGTTAATTCTTTTTCCTGTTTTACATTTTATTTATTTCTGCTCTAATTTTTACTGTTCTTCATTATGCTAGTGCTAACTTTGATCTTTTTCTAGTTCCTTGAGGTGTAAAGTTAGGTTGTTGATTTGAAGTATTTCTTCTTTTTAATGTAGGTGTTTATTGGTATCAGCTTCTTCATACTGCTTTTGCTGCATCCCATAAGTGTTGGTGCATTGTTTTTGTTCTCATTTGTTCCAAGATATTTTCTAATTTACCTTGTTACTGTTTGAACAATTGGTAGTTCAAGAATGTATTGTTTAATTTCCACCTATTTGTGAGTTTTCTGGGTTTCCTTTTGCTGTTGATTTCTGGTTTTGTTCCACTGTGGTCCCATAAGACACTATGATTTCAGGTGAATTAAATTGGTTAAGACTTATTTTGACACCTAACATATGATCTGTCTTGGAGAATGTTCTGTGTGCATGTCAGAAGAATGTGGATTCTGTTATTGGATGGAATGTTCTATGTAGGTGATTTAGATCCATTTGGTTTATAGTTTTGTTCAAATCTCCTGTTTATTGATCTTCCATCTGCTTGATGTATTGTTGAAAGTGAAGTATTGAAATCACGTACTATTCCTGTGTTACTGCCTATTTCCCCCTTCAGTTCTGTTAATTCAGAATTGTTGAATTGTTCCAGTGTTGGGTACACATATAACTTTTATATTTTCCTGGTGAACTGACCCTTTTTTCATTACATAATATTCTTCTTTTGTGACTATTTTTGACTTTGTCTATTTTGTCCAATGTAAGTATGGTCACCACTGCTGTCTTTTGGTTACCATTTGATGGAGTATCTTTTTTGCCTTTAGCCTGTGTATTTCCTTACCTAACTAAAAAGTGAGTCTCTTGTAGACAGCATGCAGTTGGATCTTTTTTTTTTTTTCCTTTTTAAAATCTAGTCAGCCACTTGATTTCTTTTGGGGAATTCCTGATAATGACAGACTTACTACTGAATTCTATTTTCTCTAAGTCTTATAGTTGTTTGGTTCTTCTTTTCCTCCTCACCTTCCTTTGTGGGGGTTTTTTTTTTTTGGTAGTGACATGTCTTGATTCATTGTTCTTTTGTGCTTCTGTAGATTTTGTGTATAAATGTGTGTGCTTACATTGGGGGTGACATAAATGATTTTAATAGCAGTCTGCTTCAAAATGATAACCTCAGTCACCTACAAAAGCTCTTTATGTCTCCCTCCCTCGCTATATGGGGATAAATAACACTTTGTTATTGATAGCACAGATTTCACCTTTTTGTTGTTTTACCATTAGACACAGTTTCATAGTTTTTTATGCTTTTATCTTTTAAATTCTCTATCAGTATTAAAAGTGATCTGTGCATCACTATCACAGTTTTATGGGGTCTATATCCATCTGTATATTTACCTTTACCAGAGACCTTTATATTTTCATATACTTTTGTGTTATTGTCTCTTGTCCTTTTTTTTTTTTCAACTTGAAGGACTCCCTTTAGTAATTCTTATAAGGCAGGTCTAGTGATCATGAACCCAGCCTTTGCTTATCTGGGAAAGTCTTTATTTCTCCTTGATTTCTGTAGGATAATTCTGCCAGGTATAGTATTCTTGGTTGGCACTTTTTTCTTTCAGTGCTTTGTACACATCATCCCATCCTCTGTCCTATAATGTCTCTGCTGAGAAATCCACTGACAATGTTATGGGAGTTCCTTTGTACATGACAATTTGCTTTTCTCTTGCTACCTTCAGGATTCTATTTTTGCCTTTGAATTTTGACAATTTGCATATCATGTGTGTCAGTGTGGGCCTCTTTGGGTTCCTCTTAGCTGAGGTCTTTTGAGCTTTCTGAATTTGGGTGTCCATTTCCATCCTCAGATTTGGGAATTTTGGAGCATTTCTTCAAACATGTTCTCTGCTCCTTTCTGTTCCTCCTTTTCGGGGTTACTTGTAACACACATAATGGTGTATTGAATGGTTCCCATAAATCTCAAAAATTCTCCACTTCATCCTTCTTTTTGTTCTTCCGCCTTGATAGTTTCAAATGACTTGATAGTTTTCAAATGCCATTTCTTTCCTCTGCTTGATCAAATCTACTGTGAACCCATCTAGTGACTTTTTCAATTGTCATTGTATTATTCAGCTCCAGAATTTGATTCTTTTTATAAGTTTTCTTTGTTGATATTCTCATTTTGTTTATGCATCATTTTCCTGATGTATTTTATTCATGTTTTCTTATAGCACATTGAGCTTCATTAAGATTACGATTTTTGAGTTATGAATTTGCTTATGAATGTTATGTATTTGTTATGAATTTGCTAATTCATAGGTTTCCATTTCTTTATTTAAAGTCCATTTCTCAGGATTTTCCCCCCACTTGATTGGGTTATGTTTTGTTTCTTCTAGTGCCTTGTTATTTTTTGCAGTGTTTTGTACATATAAAAAGCAGCCACCCCTCCCAGTCTTTACATACTGGATTTGCACAGGGGAAGGCCTTTGCCAGTCAGCCTGGGTGGTCCCTTAATCCTTTCTGGGGATGTGTCTTCTTTGGGCTTGTGCATGCAATTTTCCAACTAGAGAGGTTTGCTTCTTTTTTAGGGATTTGTAATCTCTGAAGACTAGAGCTCCCTCTGGTGTCTCTCTGTGGTACTGTAGGTTCTGTCATGCTGCAACAAGGTGCTGAGCTCCTTTGTGGTTTCTCCCACCAGAGGCATCCAAACTATTTCAGTTCCCACCGCTGCTCTACTTCAGGTGACACAGAAACCATTCCAAATGTTGGATAACCTTCTTCTCTTCTCTTTCCCTGCCAAGGGAGAAGGTGTGAGCTGGGCCCTTTGTCCTGCTATCCAGTGAGTGGCATTGCTGCTTCTCTTACTACAGCAGCCGCTGAGCTCTCTTCTCCATGGCAGCCAGGCATTCCCAAGTATGCTGCTTCCGTTAGCATTCTGGATTGGAAATGATGGAAGGGAGGCCCTTGGGCAGCCCCCTGAAAAGCCAGAACCTTGGACCTACATTCCATTCTTTTCTTTACCACGCACGGAGCTTCTCAATCGAACCAAGTTGTGCTGGCTTGGGAGGTGGGCTGTCCAAGTTGATATGAAGCCACTTTTCTTACCTGTTTCAGTAGGATTGTTCCTGACTTTGAACTTGCCTGCAACTTGATTGGTTTCTGGGATTCTCACAAGGCCTTTTGGGCTGTGTATAGTTGTTAAATTGGTATCCCTATGTGGGGAATCTGGCCTGGGGCTTTCTATTCTACTATCTTGCTGATGTCACTAGACACACACTTCTAACACTCTTTTTTAATGAGACCTTTTACAAAGATCTGTATTCGTAAGTACAGGCCTTCTCTTGTGTCATGCTTCGCTTAGCCCCCTTCTCCTGAGTATCTTTTCTTTCTCATGGATCTCCCCCAAGAGAGAAACCATTTTCTAATTACCTGTCATTTATACAGAATATTTATTACTTTCGATTCAAAGGACCCTTTCTTGTACCCTACAGGGCTGAGGCAGAGTAGGGGGTTCGCGGCTGTCCTGGAAGATGGCTGCCACTGCTGCACGGTGGGGATCTGTCATGCAGCCGTGAGCATGCCAGACTGGGAGCCTTGGGCCCTCCTCTGACGACGGGGACCAGAACCAGTTTGTTAGGGTTAGCTCTGCATGGTTTTGAAGAACTGGACGTTCAGCTGTGTCAGTCCTGACACAGCTGGCTTCTCCCTACTTACTTTTTGGGCAGTCCAGATGTGTCACACAATTATTCCTCTAGTTGTTGGCAGGCAGGGAGGGGCTGAAGTCTGCCGCTCATTAGATCCAGTGCCAGGAAAGGACGGGGACTGGCTGTACACCTTTCTACGTCACTTGCCTTCACCTGTGGACATAGCCAGTTATCAGGGAGTGAAGCTAACCACATACTCGAAGGCTTAGGGAAAAATATTTCCTGTTCCTTCTCTTTTGTTGAGGCTGTTTGTAGTGTTTTGGTTTTTTTTTTTTTTTTTTTTTTAAAGATTTTATTTATTTGAGAGAGACAGCATGAGCTGGGAAGGTGGGGGTGTAGAAGGGGCAGAGGGAGAGGGAGTGGTATACTCCATGCTGAGCAGGGAACCCACCACTGGGCTTGATCCAAAGACCTCAGGATCATGACCTGAGCCTAAGGCAGACACTTAACCGACTTAGCCACCCAGGCACACCTTTAGTTTTTTTTTTTTAAGCCTGAGAAATATCTCTAGCCATCCCGTTTTAGATCTTCAAAATGGTGTATGTCTAATTGTGGTTTGTTGATGTGCTAAGAAAATGAAACACACCTTTCAAAGTCCTTTATATAATACCTAGTCTGATCTTTTTTTTTCCCTGCTATAGACAAAAAGTAGAATCTAAAATTTTTAAGGAAGCCATCAAAAAATTTCATTCTAATATGAAAGAAGAACTCATCAAAACGGTAAGTTTGTTGACATAAATTTGTCAGTCTCCATTTGTACGCTCCTCCTGCGGCAGCGGACGGTTATCCTAGAAAAGATCTCATGTGCTGGTGACGTGGTAAAGAGCTCATTAGAACTGTTCCTGTTTCACAGGTTGTTTTTAAACTAAATGCAATAGATCGTAAGTTAATAAACATTTTAATTTTGGAAAATGCACACAAATATTTTTTTCTTTTGTGCAGCTTAAAGAAGTCCAGATGTCAAAAACTCTGAAAAGGAAGAACACGAAGGTAAGTCACGTGTGTATGATTAGATGCAGACAGTCACATGGGCCACTGAGCCATGCAGAGCTAAGTAAAGCCCTTGACTCTGGCTTTCAGGACCTTTGCTTTGTCGAAGTTTTTTTTTTTTTTTTTTTTTTTTTAAGTCAGGCTTTTGTCTGGTTGGTCTTGTGGTTGTGTACTATTAATGCATGCAAAGGGATGGGGATCCCAACCAGCCTAAGGCAGCTATCAAGGCCCAAATAACGACTTCCACGGTATTAACTGTAACTAATTATTAAGTAATATATATTTATTGCTTTTGTGGCTGTCAAAGAATAAAACCTTTTAGCATAAAGAACTGTTCCAGTCTCAAGTCAAGGGACAGCCTGGGAAGAATACTGTGTTAAAGGTTCAGCGACCTCATTTCTTGTCCTGGTTCTTCTACTTCAGTGTTGTCCCACCTTCTTAGAAACTCTGTACCACGAGGATATGTGAGGGGAAACAAGTCAAGGAACCCCGGGCCTTACTTGCCCATTGGTGTATGTGTGGACCAGATGACCTCTGAGCTCTGCGCTTACATGAATCCAGGATTGGAAGAGTGGCTCCCCCTTCACATTTATAATAGAAATGGAGTTGAAACGCATATATTTTTGTTTCCACGATTTAGACCTTTGCTGGGTTTTTCTCCTTCAGTTTCATTGTCCTGCTGCTCAGCTCTGCATTGCTTGCAAGGGAACAGTCCGAGTGTCCAGCCGTGGAACAGTCCCTAAAAGGGACGGCTGAAATAATAATCTGTAATATATAAATAATCTCTTTAAAACACAGATTGGATTAGGGCAGTCTCCTGCATCAGCATTTTCCTGGTGTATCTACATAAAATCCCAACTCCTTACTGGATGGCTCGTGGGGTCTGAAAGGTCTGGCCCCTGCTTCCCCTTTAGCGTTGTCCTGGAGTAAATGCCCCTGTGGTCTCTTTCCCACTCCATCTCCAACACCTGGTACGGGGTCGCTAGCAGTGCTGGAACATTTAGGGAGTTATTTTAACAAATTATTGTCTTGCTTTAGATTATTTCAGATATTGAAAAGAAAAGGCAGCGTTTGCTTGAACTCCAGGACGAACTGCTTCGGTAAGATAATGTCTTATCTAAGCTCCTCGAAGAACTTACCTGAAGGGATGTGATTACAGTACAGTGGGGGTGGGGGGGGCCCCACCGCTGAGGTCTGTATTGTCCTGCGATCCCAGGTGTTCTTGGTGTCTGGAAGCTCAGTGAAGGCGGTCGTGCTGCAGAGCTGGAGCTTTTGGCAAAAGAGAGTTCGGCACGGATCTCTCCGCGGTCAGATCTGACCCCGGCCCACGAGGCAGCCCAAGTAGAGATTTAGTGTGCAGACTCTGAGACTGGATACCCGGTTCAAACCCAGGCTCAGCTACTTACCGGCTGTGCCCCCTTGGGTCAGGCTGCTGACCTTCCCAGGGCCTCAGTTCCTCTTCAGTAAAGGAGCACGATACCCACCCCTCCCAGGGCGCTGGGAGGGTTAAATGACTAAACATGCAGAGTGCTTCGCGGTGACTGCCGTTCAGCCGGTGCCGTGTGTGTTACCGGTTCTCGTTAATGTGATCGTTGGCGTGGTGCTCGTGTGATGTGAACATGCCCCCGTGTGCGGGGTCTAGGACCCTGGGACCCCGCGGTGGGGTCGCCTGCACGCAGGGCTGAGGCGGCCTTCCGTGCGGCCAGGACGACTGGCTGAAGGGGTCCGAGAGCAGAAGCAGCAGCAGCAGTCATGTCTGCTCTGTGCTCCGAAGAGTGTTGCAAAACAGGGTGAGAGAGTGGCATGATCAGAAAAGAACACCTGTAATTCCAGTGCCGAGTTTGAGACAGGAATGCCAGAGAGGTTTGGGAGAGGGTCCAGCGCATTGGCTCCCCTGTCCCGCCTGGGCCTGGTGCCAGACTGGGGAAAAGTTTCCAGGGGCTCAGGCCTAAAGAAAACCACATTTGAACAAACTTCCTGGGTGCGCTGGGCACTGGCCTGAAGGCTTCAGATATTTGCTTGTTATCCCCATAATCCTGGGAGATGGGTTATGATGTCTGTTTAATAAGAAAAAGACATTTTATTTATTTATTTATTTATTTTATTATTATTTTTTTTTAAAGATTTTATTTATTTATTTCACAGAGAGAGATCACAAGTAGGCAGAGAGGCAGGCAGAGAGAGAGATAGAGGAGGAAGCAGGCTCTCCGCTGAGCAGAGAGCCCGATGTGGGACTCGATCCCAGGACCCTGAGATCATGACCTGAGCTGAAGGCAGAGGCTTAACCCACTGAGCCACCCAGGCACCCGAAAAAGACATTTTAGTTAAAGACCAGCCTCTTGGTTCCTTTTTTAGATATAATTCTAGACATTGAAAAGTATATCTTGAAAAGGCCTAGAAAGAAAAATGCAGTGTCTGGTTATTCTGACTTGACAGGTGGAAAGGCTCTGGCCTGGGGGAAAAGTACCTACCCACAGTCCCGCCCGAGGAAGTGGGGGGGCCAGGATCTCCTGTCGCAGACTGAATGCCAGCCCTGTGCCCGTGACCACAGCCCTTGTCTTTCCATAATGCTGCATTTGTTCAACAGACACAACTGTTAAAAGGACTCTTCTAAAAATTGTATTAGAGGACAGCTGCTTTTTGTCTTTAAGAGAATAAAAAATTGGTAGCCTATACCTTTTTTTGTCATTAAATTCAAGCCATCCCTTTTTATTTTACAGGTAAGAAACTAAGACACAGAAAGAAAGTAGTTAAAAGTAGTTTACCCTTGCATTTTTCATCCAGGCACTCGGATAATTTTTCCACGGGTTGTACTGGACCTTGGCAGACGGGCAGAGGGAAGGCCTTTGGTCTGCGCTTTCGCTGTTGCCCTGTAGCACCGAGCCCCTAGCTGAGGCCAGGAGGAGTAAACCACAGCTCCCTCAAAGTGACCGGATGGGTTGTGGGATGTACAAGGCATCTTCTTCTGTGGTTTTCATTTCCAATTACTCACTGTGTATCGTATTTCAGGGTTTTGTCTATATTTTAAATTGAAACCTAGACCCTGTCACACATAATTTCAGAACTGAAGGTTCTTTAAAGACCTAGTTCCCCCCCCTCCCCTGCGTGGTCCTGCCTCAGTGACCTGGCACTCAGCCTCCTACCCCCTTGGCTATTCCACTTGACCGTAGGCATTCATTTGGGGGAAACGGTTTCGTCGTCGTTGCAGGTTAGAACCACAGCTGAAACAACTACAAGTCAAATATGACGAACTCAAGGAGAGAAAATCTTCCCTAAGGAATGCAGCATGTTTCTTATCTAACCTAAGACAGCTTCATCAAGATTACTCAGATATTCAAGAAAAAGAACCTCATGGAAAAGAAACGGTAACTTCAATTTTTATTTTTCACTGTGATTCAGAAGATCAGGGCACCTGCACAGTGGAGTACGTCTACAGGAGCTTGGGGGAGAGGGAAATGGGGGTGCATTACAGTCACCCAAACAGCATCACTGTGATCATCACCTCTTTGGCTACTTCAGGCTAGAGGAATAGAGAACAATCTAGAAATGCTGATTTTATTAAAGAGAAATGGCTGAACATAAGCCATCATCCCCCATGCATGGTAGGTCTAATTTTAGAAGTCGGGAAACATGAAAGGGACCTAGAGTAGGGAAAGGCGTATGTTATTTTTATAAAACTTGTTGCTTCTGGATTTTTGCTGCAGATGTTGCTGCTGTTACAAGAACCAGCTCAGATCAATAGAAATTTAAATTACAGGGAAAAAAATCCAAATATAATTTTATATAAAATGTAAATATATATCTTATGATCATACTTGTATTCTTCACTTCTAAGTTCAATTTTAAGTTTTTACACTGATTTAAAAGGCTTCAGTTTGTATATTAGATCTGAAAGTAGAATGCTTTTAATGTTCTCTGTGACAGTACCCACTAGTCTACAGTTTGCTTGAGTTGGGGATTTGGTTACTCACTTGGAGATGATCATAGCGCTGCTTAAATTTGAACATAACTTTGGTGGAAACAGAGACTTGAGGACTTGACTTTGCTCAGAATACACTAGTCTTTCTAACGTGTCCTTCGCATGCCCGCAGGCCTTCTGTGCTCTCTTGTAGTATCTCTCTTCCTTTGTGGAAAGTAGGCATTTGGGAATCTGTCTTCTTTCCTAAACCAGAACTCTAACCCCAAATGTTAGTCCTACCCCTCACGCCTCCCTGAGAGCGCATGTCCCATGGCAGCTTGAATACAGTAGGCTCTCAAATATCTCTTTGAAGTTCATAGTACTAGGGTAGGGTATAGTCTAGAAAGAATTATGTGGATGGGAAGTCACAGTTGCACACCTTTTCCACGCAAAGCTGTTCTTTTCATTACTAAAGAAAACACCTTGAAAAAATGAAATTAAACAGTTATCCTAAGTATGAGCAAATTCTGTAGGGGGAAGATAGCCCGTCATCCCTGGATCTAGTTTATGACATGAAGCTTGGCTTTGTTATTTCAAAGTCATGAGTTGGGTTTTGATTTCTATTTTATGTTGGGTTTGTATTCTAATTTTGTCTTTAGTCCTCCCCATACATTTTTCCTCGTGAACTTAGATGGGCCTGGTTTTCACCTTCCATTAGTTCTTCCAGTAAAAGTTAATCTGCCTTACAGCTTTCTGGGTTTAAAATAGGCATGAAGTCGGCAGACTTGCCCAAACCAAGTCTCGATCTGTATGAGGAATGATTTTGTTTTAAATAATTTAAATGCCACAGTTCTTGGAACCAACTGGTCATCTGGGAGGAGATAAGCCTAAGCTTTCTAGAGCAGTTTCTTTGTCACCTTTTTAATTGTGCCCTAAGGAAAACGATTAAACCAATTTTTAAAAATGATCCTAATTTAAAAAATGAAAGTTTATGAAAAGCTCCATTTAGCATTGAGCTATATAACAGATAGGGTTAAAGAAATTTTTTAGGCATGTTAATCAAAATACAATTTTCCTTCAACAGTATGATTCGTCCAGCCTTCCAGCTCTGTTAGTCAAAGCGAGAACCCTTCTGGGAGCTGAAAACCACCTACAAAATATCAACCATCAATTAGAGAAGCTCCTTGACCAGAAAGGTGACCAATCTACTGAAATGTGACTCTGTAAAGACTAGTCCCCTGCGCTTGCCTGTTCCTTTCTGATACTATACTTTTGTAAATAAAAATTCTTTGAGAAGTGAAATGTCTACTTGTTCGGGCTGACTTGTCACCAAAATTTAGGATTACTTTGTCCATAGTCATTTGGTTTGAATGACCATGTGAAGTGGCAAGTTTGAGTGTATAAGTGCTTTTAGAGGCCAGATTCCAGACACCAGCCAATCAGACTCTGACCTAGAAGAGCTCTAGCCGGAAGTGGCAGAGGGAGGAGTTCCAAGACTGGATGGAAGGACCCCGAACTCACCGCATGTCCAGACACCCACGGAGCAGTTCCTCCTGAACAACACCGAGGCCTGACGAACCGCTGCTCACTGACGCCTGGAGCCCGACCCGGCCCCGTGGAGAGAGAAAGGTAAGAGGCGGACACGGGGTGACAGTGGGAACCCCAGCCCTGAAGCGCTGGCCCATGAGTCGCCAGCCCCCCGCCCCCAAAACAAAACATCAGTTTGAAGGACAGAGAGACTTGTAAGTGAAGGAAACCTGTGCACTAACCTTAGAACATCCACCACGCTGTAGGGAACTGCTGGAACCCTCTGGGGCTCAAGAGGCTGAGGAGCACTGTTGTTCATTTACCCCTCCGCCTGAGAGCCTGGCTGGAGCAGGGTCTGGGCCCCCTAACCACTCCTCTAGGCCTGGCCCCTTGAGTCCCGGGCCTCTAGGCCATGGCAGCTGCAGGGCGAGAGAGGCCCAGCTGTCCCCCCAGCACTGACCACTCCCCAACCCGTGTGCACCCCAGCTCCAGCCATGCCACAGAGCGGTGTTGGTGCCGAGCACACCAGGACCCTCTGGCCTGGGCTCACTGCAGCCGTCAGGCCCCGGCACCCCATCTCCAGCAGAGAGGACTCTGGGACTGCCGGGGCCCAGGCTAGCCCACCAAGGACTAGAAGGGACTATCATTTTAAAATAGACTGTTACATAGGTCAGTACATATGAACCTCGTGATAACCAAAACCCTAAAATAGACAAAGTAAAGGAACCCAAACACTAAAGAAAACCCATCAAACCACAAGGGAAGAGACCAAGAGAAGAAAGGTACAGAGAACAACAAAAGCAACCAGAAAATGGTTAACAAAATGGCATTTTGATATGCTCCAATCATATGACAGAGTAGCTAAATGGATTTAAAAAACTGACGCATCTATATGCTGCCTACAACATAGATAGACTTCAGACTAGACACCGTGAAGAAAGGGGAAAGATACTCCATGCAAATGGGATGGAAAAAAAAGCTGGAGTAGCCATGCTTAGACTTTAAAACAAAGACTAACAAAGGACAGAGAAGAGCATTACATTATGGTCAGGGGTCAATACAAGAAGAGGATAGAACATTAGTAAGTATCTATGTACCCAACACAGGAACACCTACACACAAAGCAGATACTAACAGACATAAGGGGAGAAATTAACAATATAATAATAATATGGGACTTTAATATCCCCACTAAATCAGCGTCATCCAGACAGAAAATCAATAAGGGAAACTTGACCTTAAACAACACATTAAACCAGAGGGACTTAACATATACAGACCATTCCATCCCCAAACTATAGAATATACATTCATTTCAAGGGCACATGGAGTATTCTCCAAGAAAGAGCACATGTCTCAAATTCAGGCAAACTGGAAAAAATACAAACATGGAAAAGCAGCAGCACACTATTGAACAACCAATGGGTCAATGAAGAAACCAAAGATGAAACTGAAAAATACTGAGAGAGAAAATGGAAACAACTTTCCAGACTCTAGGGGACACCGCAACAACAGTTCTCAGAGGGAAGTTCATAGTGACATAGGCTTACCTCAAGAAGCAAGAAAAGTCCCAAATAAAAAAATCTTTATGCCTAAAGGAGCTAGGAAAAGAAGATCGAACAAAGCCCAAAGTTAGCAGAAGGAAGGAATTAATTAAGTGGAGAATAAAAAAAAAAAAAGAAAATATCATGAAACTAAAAGCTGGTTCTTTGAAAAGATAAAATTGGTAAATCTCTAGCCAGATTCATTAAGAAAAAGAAGGGCACCAATAAAGTCAGAAATGGCTGACACCACAGAAATTCAAACAACCATGAGATTACTGTGAACAGTTATACATTATCAAAATGGTCAACCTAGAAGAAATGGATACATTATACATAGATATGGATAATAAATACAAATATACAGCCTAAGACTGAATCACTAATAGAAAATCTGAATAGACTATGAGTAATGAAATGGAATCAGTCATTTAACAACTAAAAAACAAAAGTCCAAGAGCAGGTGGTTTGACAGGTAAATTGTACCAAACATTTAAAGAAGAGGTAGTATCTATTCTCAAATTATTCCAAAATACTGAAGAGGAAAGAATGCTTCCAAATTCATTTTACAAGGCCAGCATAACTGATAACCAACACCAGACAAAGACATCACAAAATCACAGTGCCGTGAGCGTAAGCTCCATGTTGAGCTCCATGCTGGGCATGGAGTCTGCTTGAATTCTCTCTCCCTCTCCCTCAGCCCTTACCCCTGCCCATATATATGCATTTTTTTTTTTTTAAGAGGACCAATCTCTTTAGCAAGGGCAATAAAAGCTGAAGTAAACAAATGGGATTATATCAAACTTAAAATGCTTCAGCACAGTAAACAACGAAATGAAAAGGCAACCTATGGAAAGGGAAAAGATATCTGTAAATCATACATTCAATAAGAGGTTAATATCAACAATATATAAAAACTTACACAATATAAAAAATTTTTTTAAGTGGGCAAAGAAAACTTGAATAGACATTTTTCCAAAGTAGATAAACACAGACAAAAGATGTATGAAAAGATGGCTCAGGACCACTAGTCACCAGAGAAACGCCAATCAAAACCATAATGAAGGGGCGCCTGGGTGGCTCAGTGGGTTATGTGTCTGCCTTCAGCTCAGGTCATGATCCCAGAGTCCTGGGATCGAGCCCTGCTCAGCAGGGAGTCTGTTTCTCCCTCTCCCTCTGGCCCTCCGCCCCACTCATGTGCATGCTCTCCCTCTTTTCTCTCTCAAATAAATCTTAAAAAGAAAAAAAAGTGTCACACCTCACACCCATCCAATTGCTATTAGATTGCACTGTAAGTTGCTGCAGCCATCACGGAAAACAGCTCAGTGGCTCCTCAAAAACTTAGAAACACCGTACGAGCCCGTGACTTCACTTCCTCTGGGTATTTATCTGAAGAAAATGAACACAGTAATTCAAAGGAATGTATCATACCTATGTTTATTGAAGCATTATTATTCCTTGAAGCAGCCAAGATACAGAAGCAGCCTCAATGTCCTCTGATAACGAATAAAGAAAATGAGGAGTATTATACAAACACACAGGAATATTTCTCAGCTGTAAAAAAGAATAAAAACCTGGCATTTGTAACCACATGGATGGAACTAGAGTGTATTATGCTGAGTGAAATAAGTCCAAGACAAATTCCATATGATTATACTTATATGTGGAATCTAGAAAACCAAAGAGAGACTCCAAAATATAAGAAATTATTGGTTACAGAGGGAGGAGCGGTTCAGGGGGGTAAAATAGGTAAAGATGAGTAAGAGGTACAAAGTTCCAGTTATAAATTAAGTTATGAGGATGTAATATACAGTATAGGGAATATGCAGTCAGTAATATGTAATAACTTCGTGTGAGGACAGATGGTACTAGAGTTACGGGAATCATTTTGTAATGTATAGAGATGCCGAATCAGGATATACACCTGAATAGGATACTGTATGTCAATTACACTTCAGTTAAAAATTTTTAAATAAGATTAAGAGTTTTAACCCATCAACAGACCTGCAAAATGAAGCGGATATGAACATAGACCAACTCTGGTCAATTAGTAAGATTTCTAATTTTGAAGAAAACTGGCTTACTTCAGTAAAAAACTGGAATTGAGAAGCAAAGTGATAAAACTTGGTTTTCATTAACAGGTTTAATAAGGCTTAGGTCACTAAATCGTTGTCAGGCCCAATCACAGCCAGTTACCTAAGAGCCCACGGTTAATGAGCTACTCTGGTAATACCTGCACGATGAGTTCATCGGGAATGTCCTCCTCTCCACCGCAGTAACCGAGGAGCCCGCTCTCTGCGGCTTCGGCGAGTTCAGCATCTTCAGTAGCTTCCACAAAGTCAGTCTCATCAAGGCCATCATCCCAGTCGGCGTCAGAAATGGCACCTTCTGACAACAGGCCCGATGGTGGCTTCTGAGCACTTCTGGTGTCACTGTTCATTGTTTCAGCTGCTGTGAACTCTTCTTCCTTTAGTTTGAAAGGGGAAGGTAGTGGAGAGTGGGAAAGGGAGAGGATACAGGTCAGTCATGGAGACTGTGCGATGCTCTCACTCTACGGTCAGTCTAGGTTAAGCTAAGGTATTAGGTGGAAGACCAGTTCTTGAACAGACACTAAAATAAATATGCTGGATGACGGTGTCTCCAATACAGTCACCATGGGAATGAGTGAATTCAAATGTAGCTGCCACTGTAGCTGAGACACTCGAAACTCTAAATTTGGAACTGCTCCCCCCCACCCCCCGGCCTGGTTCCTCTGGTACATTCTTTTCAATATACACAGATGGGGCTAGAGAGATGGTAGACTGAATTTTTTTAAAAAGCAGACAGTCCAGCTGAAGGTGAACTGGAAAATCTGCTATCTTAAAAGACTGATTTTCCTATTTATAAAGTATTTAAAGAATTAACATGAATTTAAAAAACTGTTAATAACAGTTGAGACAAGTGTCAAGACAGGAGTATGGATGTGTATATTAGATAACAGCAGTGTATCAACATTAAATTTCCTGAATTTAGGATTTTTACCATACTCATTTAAGAATATCCTTAACCTAAATATCTCTAGTTACAAGCTTAAACATGAAGAGATGTAGGGTTGATGGCTGCAAATTCCTCTCAAGAGATTTGGTATGGACCGAACGTGTTACCCTAAATTCCCAAGTTGAAATGCTAACCCCCAACGTCATGGCATTAGGAGGGAGGCCTTTGGGAGGTGATTAGGTCTTGAGGATGTGGCCCTCATGACTGGGATCAGTAACCTTATAAAAGGGACCCCAGAGCGCTCCTTCATCCTTGTGACAGGGAGGGCCTGGCAAGAAATGGCTACGACCCGGAGAGCCGACCAGACGCCAAATAGGCCAGTACCCTCAGCTCACACCTCCAGCCTCCAGAACTGTGAGAAAGCACCTTCTTGGTTTACGAGCCATCCTGCCTGCGGTACTGTGTTATAGCAGCCTGAATGGACTAAGACAAAAAGTTCTCCAAAATAACAAAGTGCGCCCGAACAGCAGAGGGAGAACACAAATGTGGCCACGTGTTAGCGATGGCAAATCTAGGTGAAGGGAGAGCTCCCTGTCGTTGGGCAACATTTCTACAGGGGCAATAAAAAAAAGAGAAATGTTTAAAAAACTAAGAGGATGAATGCAACAGAAAACTAGGTAACTAACACTGATTGGCAATTCATTTTAAAATACTAAAAGCAAAAAAGCCAGGGGAAGCAGAAAGGACAGAATATAAACTGTTAAAATGATGTGATAGGTACATGGGTATTCATTAAGCTGTTCTTTTATTAATTTTCTGTTTCAAATAATAATAAAAAAATTCTGTCCAAGCAGTGGTAATACGATGTACCAAAGCTACTTTCAACTTGGTATTTTTGAGGTATTACTGGATAAGCAGAAAAGTTATTTTTAAAAATCCAATGAAACCACAAACGTGCCTCAAAATAAGTCTCCAAACATTAAGGATGACATACACCTCCTCCTCTTAGAGGCAAAGTTTATTTTTACAAATTAATTTTCTCTTGGTTATTTCACTTTTTAACCTAACAGTTTACCAGGGAATCTGGCTATCAGCTATGTTGGTCCTGCTCCTACCATGTCTATGTTAGTTGTATGAATTTGTGCTGGAGACATTTTTTAGTCAAAGTGAATAGGCAGCAGACCACTACCCAGAATGTCAACTGAGCTCACTTAATCTGCGTGTAGCAGGTAACTTTTATTCTAACCAGAACACCAGAAAGGAAAAGGGTGATAGATGTGGGGAAAAGGAACACTAAAATGTTCAATCTGGAAAATAACATGATCAAAGAGTTAATAAAAAGTTCTCATTAGGGGCGCCTGGGTGGCTCAGTGGGTTAAGCCTCTGCCTTCAGCTCAGGTCATGATCTCAGGGTCCTGGGGTCAAGCCCCACATTGGGCTCTCTGCTGAGCAGAGAGCCTTCTTCTCCCTATCTGCCTGCCTTTCTGCCTACTTATGATCTCTGTCAAATAAATAAATAAAATCTATAAAAAAAAAATTTGTGAAGCCTTATGTCCTACCATTTTTATGGATACCAACTGGTAATATGTACTCATGAAAACAAATTAGGAAAAAAGATCTATAAAGTAAGATGCATACTGTGATTTTGAAAATATATATATGAGCATACATCAACAGAAATTCTGGAAGATATCTGCCAAAGCACATCAGTTATCCCTGACTGGTCAAATTCTAGGCAAGGAGGAGTTTATCCCTGTTGGCTTTTCATGTATCTTCTAATTTTTTCTCACAATAAGTGTGAATGATTTGGGGAAATAAGTTTTTAAAAGGACAAAGTCAATTTGGCCATCTGGTAATTTCTACCAAAATTTAAAATGCACACACCCTTTGACATAATTCTACTTCTAGCAATTCTACCTACAGACAGAGTTGTTGAAATAAACACGAAGATTAGTATTTTGATCTTCCTAAAGCCAAGAGGGAGAGACTGTCCCTGGCTGGGCACGGTCCAACAGGTGGGTCTGCACACCGAGTGCAGCAGAGGAAGCCCGCGGGCACGCACGAGTGGGTGTGTGCAGACGCCGGCCCAGTCACTGGGGCACACTCCTATGTGACAACACGTCCTGAGGACATGGCGCACAGCTCAGTTATACTGTCGTACCGAGAACAGATTAGGAATGAGAGAGAAACTCAAACCTGCGCTCACCTCTTTGAGAAGATAAAGGAGACTCACTTCAGCAGGTAATGGAAAACCTGGACAAGAAAACAGTTTCACTCTTCTATGTAGCTTTCCACTTTTCACTTGGTACATATGTAAAAATTAGTAACTCACAGTCCGATCTGAAGTTTTCTGCTTTACATACAGGGTCATGACATTTCTGATACCAAACTTCATTTTTCAGATCAACCAAAATCCTTTACATTGGGGAAAAAAAAGGGGGGGGGGAGTTATTACTTAATCCCCAGACTGGATGGATAACAAAATTCATCTACATGCTGCTTACCAGAGACGTGCCTACGACTTCAAGATGGAGACCAGGTAAGAAGTAAAAGGATGGAAATAAATATACACCAACCCAAAGAAAACTCTGGATGTCAAAAATAACACCCCAAGTGGGCTTTAGGGCAAAATAACACACATCGGCAAAAGTTCTTCCCAAGAAGACCTAGTCCCCGACCTGTTCCCGCCAAATATGACAGCTTCAAAATGAATGAGCAAAACTGACAGGACTCCAAGGATAAACAAACCGTGTACCATAAATCAAGATTTTAAAAAACATTCTTTTAGTAACTGATACAAATAATCACAAAAAATTCAGTGAGGGTGCAGAAAATGTGAATGACCTAAAAAGCATGTTTTAATAAAATTAAAAGCAATTAACACGTTTGCTATAATAGGCTTATAGGAACATTGCCTCAGATCATTAGAAGTTCACATATAAAACAATTATAAAAACTGAGTGTGCTAGGGTACCAGGTCCGTCTCATTAAAAGTATTCACACAACACATCTCTGACCACAAAGCAAATTGTTTAGAAATAAGTAACAGTGGGGCCCCTGGCTGACTCAATCAGCTAAGTATCAGGCTCTTGGTATTGGCCTGGTATTGGCCTGGATCATGATCTCAGCGTCCTGGGATCAAGCCCCGCATCGGGCTCCTCTCCCCATAGTTTGCTCGTCCCCCTCCTCTGCCACTTCCCCACCCTCTCATGCACCCGCCTTCTCTTTCTCCCAAATAAATAAAATCTTTTTAAAAAAGTAACAAAAATAGCTAATAGAAACCCATAACTTGGAAATGGAAACATTTCTAAATAATCAATTACTCAAAAATCATGATGTAAATTAGAAAATGAATGGAACTGAAAATACATAGTAAAATATGGGAAACAGAGCTAAAATGAGATTTGGAGAGAAATTTAGAATCCTAAAAGCATCAAATCACAAAAAAGAGTGGCTAAAGGCCAATAAATAACTAACTTGGGAAATGAAAAATAAAACTCTAATAAAATAAAAAGCAGGAAGTAATAAGAAGCAAGATTTTAAAAGAATCAACAAGGCCAAAATGTGAAAACTAATACAATTCTTGCCAAGCTTGATCAAAAATAAATTAGCTAGACACAAATGTTATCAGAAATTAAGCGCAGATGTAACTACAAATCATAAAACATTAAAAATTTAAGAACATTAAGAACAATTTCTGCCAGTAACATTAGAAATTTTGGTAAAACAGACAAAGTACTAGACAAAAAGATACCAAACTGAGCAAACCTAAAAAGTTTCAGAAAACCTGGACCATCCTCATAAAGACCGCAGGGCTGCAGTCCCCCGGCTGTACACCAGACTGTCCCCAGGCCATGAAGAGTATTTGCATCTTTCTAGGGAAACACTGCGATACTGGACATCTGTCAGGCACCCCACATTCTACTTGCTTAGTGTTCCCAGCTTCCATATTGTAACAGCTTTCATTCCTTTCAGTGATGGCCTTTGTTGAGCTGAGGTTTTTGGTGGTGACTGTGATAACAAGGACCATAATCGGGGCGCCTGGGTGACTCAGTCTGTTAAGCATCTGCCTTTGCCTTGGGTCATGATCCCATTGTCCTGGGATCGAGCTCCGCATTAGGCTCCCTGCTTAGCGGAGAGTCTGCTTCTCCCTCTGTCCCTTCCCCCTGCTTATTCTCTCCCTTTCTTGCTCTCAAATAAATAAAATCTTAAAAAAAAGAAAAAGAAAAAAAACCTCATAGGGCTTTAAGAAAACAAAAAACCAAGGGCCATAACCGTCAATGTGGAATAAGAGAGAACTGGGGTGGCAGCGTCCGCTAATTCCAAGGTTTGAGAGATTATGCAATGCTCAGAAGGACACACACCACACTAGTAAGTATTTTTATGTAAGAATGAGTTCAAGGACGCAAACCTTACTTACAAACCTTCCGTTATGAGTAAGTCATGGGATGTGATAGTAATGACCCATAGCTCATAGCACGGGACCGCCTCTGGATTTCTTGAATCTTAGAACGTACTCGTCAGCCTGACCTCGGGTCAGACTGCTGTTTCGTGTGAGTGTGGTTTGATCATCCAGTGTCATATTCATTAGGGATCTGGTAAATTCAGATGAAAACCACAGTGTCCTCTTATACAACCAGATCAGCCAGAGATTTTTAAAATATACCTTGGTGAGATTATGGAACAGCAGAAAATACCTGAAAACACTGCTGGCGGGAGAATTAGCTGGCCATTTGGGAAAATTACTTACGTAGTAATGTGAAATCTGGGCGTACTCTATCACACATCAATGCTGCCTTCAGGCACGGACTTTGAGAAACTCTGGCACACGGGCCACAGGCAGGATGTACCCGAGCACCTACAGCGGCGTCGCTCAGGCCAGCGAGCCAGATGTCCAGAGGAGGGAAACAGACGCGCACGTTCATATTTACATAACGGCACACCACACCACAGTGGAAAAAATAAGCAACGGCCGCATGTTGCAGTATGGATGAACCCCACGAATTCAATGTTGACCAAAAAGCAATTCTGAGGATGCAGTTTACACAAGATGCAGAAACACGGAAAACAAAACAATCTATTGCTTGGAAATATAAATATGTATGGGGGACAAAAACATTTAAAGAAAGCAAGGGCAAGATGAACACAAAACCCAGGACAAGAGTTATTATTATCTCAGATGGTCAGAGCAAAGGAGGAAACGGGTTGGTCCCACAGAGCGTTTCTGAGGTTTGGTCAAGTTCCACTTCTCACGGTGGGTGGCAGACAGCATACGTGATCATTTCAGTGTGCCTTTGAGGTGTACCCGCACATGAGAATACATGCTTTTATATGTACGGGGATTTCACAGTTAAGAAAAAGAAGAGATTATGGATACATAATAGAAGCAGGTAATTTTCCAGAAAGAAATATGTAGCAACCTGAGAATCTCAAAAAGTTAAAGGATGATCATCTTATGATAATGAATTCCTGGTAAAATACATAGAGTAAAAGATGAGAAAGATATACCAAAACCATAACCACGGTTATCATTGGTTCTGGGCCTGTGGGGAAGCTTTTCCTTTGTGTTATTTTAAGTGACAGCTTTTGTGTATTGAGCATATAGTGTTTGATTTTTTTTTAAACTAAGCTAATCTGCATACAGATGTGTAGCACTGAAAGATGCCTCCCACAATGTTTCCAGCTTTCTAGCAAAAGCTTCACGATCTTTCCTCACATCTGGCACACGCGCTATATACACTTGATATACAGAAGTCTCAGCTTTGATATTAAATACAAAACAGCAAAATTTCCCATATCATAACTGATAACTACTGGGTTTCTGTCTTATTCCTATTCTCACCATATCCTTGAATTATCGAAAATTCTACTTCACCCTTCACTTCCTCTCCTTTTGCCAGGGGGATTTTAAAGAAAACTCCTAACATAGGGCCTGGTGTATACAGCAAGCATTCGATAAATATTGGTTCCCTTCAATATGATTCTCTGTTTTTCTTTTTCATAAGATTTTATTTATTTATTTAGGAGAGGGAGGGAGAGAGAGAGGCACGGAGAGCACAGAGAGAGCAGCAGACTCCCCGCTGAGCAGAGAGCCTGACTTAAGGAGCTCCATTCCAGGACCCATGACCTGAGCCGAAGGCAGACGCTTAACTAACTGGGCCATCCAGTACCATTCTTTGTCTTGACCATGTTAATGTTAACTCCAACTCGTAACACTGAGTAATTTCCTTTTCACCCAAATTTGTTCAATTTCAACTTACACACCATAAAATGTCAAGGACGAGAGAGAGACACTTCCTCGTCCCTGTTCGCTCACCTGTCTATTGCCTCTAATTTCTTCCTAGCCCTGCTCAGGCCTGTCTCTCTTCTCAAGATTATACTACCTAAGGGATTATATTACCAAATAAAGTACAAATAAAGATGACATGTGCTATGAAGCAAGGTGATAATTAACATAGCCAAATTCAATACTATAAAACAGAACCCAAATACAATATTTGATACAACTAAATTTATTGTAGAAACCAAAGTCATTTTTATGTTCAACCGTACAAATTATAAACATTTAAAATAATATAGGTTAAATACACAGAACTCGTTAGTAAACAACATTACTTACATGATATTATTGCTCTTGTGGGCCCTCCCAATGTTTCTGCACCAGCGATATTTACAAATATCATAAACCAGTAATTCCTCTGGGAAAAAGTAGCTCCAGTGTCGAATTCCTAAAATACAAATAATGTTTCTAAAGGTATTAAAACTCTGTCATATTACAGTGAATAAAGAATAAGATTATCTTTACCTCCTTTAATGCCATTTTTATTCACCAAAGAAAGAACAAACTGGTCAATTTCAGGGTAGGGTGAACAATGAAAACCTTCAATGTTTCCTGCTGCAACAGAGAGAAAAATTAATTATAGTTAGAGCAGCTAAGAGTCGAAGAGTTAAATGTTGAAAGTTGTTCTTTAGGACAATTGTAGGTTATGGAGCCCCTGCAACTTTTTTGTTTCCATGGTTTCAGGCAGTCACGGGTTCTTGCTTACTCTACAAGCAAGCAGGGAAAAGTCAAACCTTGAAGTTAAGTCCAATGTTAACTACGATTCCTAAGAAGCACCTGTAATCATTTCAACTGCTTTCTTCATTTTGATAAAGAGAAAAGCAACCCCTTGTACTCCAGAGCCAGCCTACCGCTATCAGCTCAGCCTTGATGTTGCGACACACTAGGCTGGTCCCCGACAGCTCAGCAACGGTGCTTTCCTGCTAATAAGGAATTATCTTACAGAATTTCAACATCAGATAAGGCCGCTCTGTGGCCAAGATGATTCATGAAAAAAACAAGACCACTCACTCCATAACTGTGTCTGAACACAGACAAAACAAGAACATTTTCCAAACCGCAAAAATGACCAACACCCCCCCCCTTACCTGATACAAGTAATTGCTCCTTCTTAACCAATTACAGCTTTACACCCACTGTAACCTGCCTTCCTTCTAGATAAAATTTATGAAGATAGTCATCCAATCGTCTCTTTGAAACAAATCCATGTCTCCTTAGACACTTCTCAAAATCACCTAACTCAAGCCTGCATCCTGTAATAAATCTTTTCTAATGCCCTTTTCCTGAGATGCCCCACAGGTCCTCATGGTACGAGCTCTCCACACTGAAGCCAGGACCAAACTCCACTTGTTAGCGATAGGTGTGTTCTCCCATGATCCTCAGCTGTAGGATCAGTTATATTTTGTATCTAAGAATCTACTGGAATAATTTATGATAACTTATTTAAAATGTCATTTAACTTTTAAACACAGAAGTATCTACTTTTCTTAAAATAAAACCTATATTTCAGGGGCACCTGGGTGGCTCAGTGGGTTAAAGCCTCTGCCTTCAGCTCAGGTCATGATCCCAGGGTCCTGGGATTGAGCCCCGCGTCGGGCTTCTCTGCTCCGCAGGGAGCCTGCTTCCCCCTCTCTCTCTGCCTGCCTCTCTGCCTACTTGTGATCTCTGTCAAATAAAAAAAAAAAAAAAAACCTATATCTCACTTACAGAGGTAATGTACATAGTTGGAGAAACTATGGAAAATATACTGAAGCAGAAATGAGAGAAATGAAGTCCAAGGCAATGTCTAGAAATGACTGTTAAACAATCAGAAGAAAATAAACCAAAGAAAATGTTACCCACATTTTTAATGAACTTGGGATCACACCTCTCAAATAATGTTGGAGTCTACTTTTTTCTCTTAATATCATAAACGGAAATTTTCTATTTTATATTGGCTTTACAAATTTAAATTAAATGGCTACAGAGTATGTTATAGTAGTGTCACCAACCCCATTTTGTACATTTAGATTGTTTCCAGTTTTTTGCTCTTGTAAATAATGATGGCCCAAAATATGTGTAAAAATGTTTACTAGAGAGTTAATGTATTGATAGAAAAAGCCCATTTTTCAGTATAAGAATGAAGAACATGTGCATTTCATGAAAAAACTCTGCAGCCATTAAAAGAATGAGAGAATACAGGGAAAGCTCCTCTGGGTTCAGTGGAAACAAACAGCGGCTGTCCATCTGTGATTGTGGACAGAGGGGAAGAGTACTGTTAGTTTTTCTTTTAATAGGGGTTTCTTTCTACAAACAAAACTACTTTATTTTCTTCTGGGCTTCCCCCCCCCCCCTCAAAATCACCATAAAATGAAAATTAGTGAATACGCTTTAAAAAGTATCTTTTCTTGGGGTGCCTGGGTGGCTCAGTGGGTTAAGCCTCTGCCTTCAGCTCAGGTCATGATCTCAGGGTCCTGGGATTGAGCCCCGAATCAGGCTCTCTGCTCAGCAGAGAACCTGCTTCCCCACCCCTCCTGCCTGCCTCTCTGCCTACTTGTGATCTCCGTCTGTCAAATAAATAAATAAAATCTTAAAAAAAAGGTATCTTTTCTTTATATGTTTTCCAATTTGAATACAAACTAAGTTGTTTTAAAGGATCAGTAGATAAGAATCTTGAAGAGTTAAGATTTTTAAGGCAAAACAGACTTTGTATCCTTAAATTTTCATAGGAATTTGTTTTCTTAAAATTACCTTTAGTGCTGGTACTGTTAAAATATTCAACTCGTTTCTGTTCATTCTGAGATGTGTCACAGGTCAGAATTCGTAAAGTATCTGAGAATCTGAAGAAAATATTGGAAAAAATAAAGTAAGGTGATCTCAGAATCAAAGAGAGATGGCTACAGAAAGGAAATTGAATTTCACATAGTTCCACGTTAAAATCCTTTATTCAACAGCTAATTCTTCTAGGACAATGAAGTCACACTTGCCTACAAAAACACCAATCCCAACACTAGTCTGGTGATCATTTAAAATACTTTTTTCAACTACAGTGTGAATCAGAGGATCTGGGACTGCTGAAGCCACGGAATGAAGTATATAATTCTACTCTTTGAAAGTATAGCGCCTTTAAAATTTTTGTTACAATGATTTGAAAAAGTGTGAATAATGTGGGGAGGAGAAGGGAAGAAGGAAGGAGGGATGAGAGCAAAGGAAAAAATAATTAAAATTAACCAAAAGATGCATTTATAACCCTAAAGAATTTAGCTTTCATTTCAGGAAGAAATGTACCCAGTATTTACTTGGAACCACAAAAGAAAATTAAGGAAACCCTTATTCAGTAGAACTCCACTTCTGTGGAATTAATGCTGAAACTACAAAGGAAATGGGGTTTGGTAACAGGGAGATGACTTTAGGCAATCTTACAGGCCGTGGTGCTTTTCCCATACAAGACAAAGTAAGAAGCCACTCTTGGGCCAACAGCAGTGAGCAGCAGCTGTCATACAATTTTTCCAGTATCTGTACAGTGCTTCCAGAATCATGGAACTGCTATTGCTAACAACTAACATTTACTGAGAGGCTACCATATGCCGGGCATGGCTGTCCTTTTGTGTCCAGTTTTAACTCCCTCCATCTTCACAACTCCCTAAGAGAGTGGGTCACATCATGTCCATTTTAAAGGTAAGGAAACTAAGACTTTGACGTTCCGTCTGAAAAATGTTATGAAAGAACTCAAAGTCCAGAAATAATATGAAGAGAAACCACCCGTCTTCCCACCCTCCTGAGTAACTGATGGCAAGTGGACATGTGGACACAACTTCCCCTCCAGCGAAGTATTTTAAGTATTTTATGAACATCCATTTCTACGGGATTTCTCCTGAGAACTATATCTAGAGAAAGCAAAGGAAAAAGAAGTAGAGCAAATCAATTGAGGAAGGCAATTTAGTTTGATCGTTAAATGTGGTTTGGACTAACAAAATTTGCCAACCCGGGTATAGAAATGGAGGCAAACGTTTCTGTTGAAAGAGGTCTTTCACACTTTTTAAAAATGACCAAAAGGTGGCACCTTCAGTGTTCGACAACAAAACTGACAATAAATTAGAGTTCATCAGTATAATGGAAAATTATATAGGCAATAAAAGTTTTAGTTATAACTAACTGTTGCGAGTCATTAACTTGGCAGATAGTCATGATATAACGTTAAGTGGATAAAACAACTGACATAACCACATAAATAATGATCTCAAGAAAATATTCTTTGAATGAAGGAGATATGTAAATTTTACATATGAATGTATATCCGTGGAAAGTAGATATTAACAGTAACTCTATTTCCAAATGGAATTCAAGTAGTTTTTGTTTTCTTTCTTATAAAAAGAAAGCTAATCTAGAATTTAAGAATTCTTAAGTTAGAATGAATTTACACAATTCACATTTTGGTACTACACAATGTCATTCACTGTTTAATAAACATTCATGAATGCACAACGGTGTGATTTTGATACTATATACCTGACATTGCTGACCAAAGAAGACAGGAAATACTGATTTTCTTCAGAAATATTCTTGGACTGTTCAGGAAAAAATCTGTTGTCTTCAGCAATCTCCAAAGCCACCTGCTTCCCTATCTTCGATGACTTATACAGCCGGAAGTTTCTATTTCTTGTATAAACTCCTATTATTAAAAATTAATAAAACAATTATGAATGCATGTTTTCCATCATTTGTTTTTACAGTCAGCAAATATTAATTTTGAATAGCATTATTAGAGAAACAACCGGTTCTGGTTCAAGGTGACGATATATGAAGAGCTTGAACTCCCCTCTACATGGGAACACACCAAAGCTACAGCGGTATTTGGGAACGATTTCCTCCGAAAAAAAACCTACAACCTGGCAGAATGACTCCTTCACCCAATGAGAGGGAAACCACATGGAAACACGTGGGAAAGGCTGAGACACAATCTCACCATAAGCCCCACCCCCAGGGCAACTCCCACAACTGGCAGGGAATTCAAAACCGGGAGCTTCTCCTTGAAAGCAAAGGCTCATAACTCACATTAGGTACCCCAACTTTTAAGGCCTGCCCCTAAGAGATGAGCCCCAGAAACATCTGGCTTTGAAGACCGGGCTGTGGCTAACTGACGAAGGGCTCTTAAGGGCTCGCCTGCACACTCACTCACCCCAAGGCCTAGTGCACAAGCAGCCCTTCCGAAAGTGCCCAGACTTTATGTGAAAGGGACTCATTTCCAAACTTTAAAGCGCTGGACTGAGGGATACTCTCCAGGGATGGAGGTGGTGGGCGCCATCATCCTCTCTGCCTCTCTAAGCCGGTGGCTGCCACCTTTTTTCTTTTCCTTTTTTCTCCCCCTTTTCCTTCCCCCCTCCCTTTTCTTAGTGGGTGCCATCTTTGCCCGCCCCCTCAGCCTCACTCCAGCCAGAGGAGCGAGGCTGGCTTTGGCTCCCCCTCTGCTGTGTTCCAGAGCACCAGAAGCTCCTGGAGGAAAGTGTCTATTCCCATCTGGTGCCCGAGTTTTTACATGTGGGGACCCATTTTTCAGGTGAGCCCTTGATCACCCGGCTCTGAAGTCCAAGGTGGCTTGGTTCCTGGGTCCCCAGGACTGTAACCGCTGGAAGGACAGTGCTCGGGACACTACCACTCCCAGGGCACTGCACAGAGACACACGGAAACACACCCAGCTTCTGAGCAAGAGGCCTATTTGCTTGAGCCACAGCCCCAGCCCAAAGGTCAAGCTTCCGGTCTGGCACACTTATAGGAGCCTCCAGAAGGGCCCTCAGGGCATGGAGCTCAGTGGACAAAATTTTCGCACCTTTCAGCTCCCTGGGATCTTCCAGAACAGGGCTTAGGCCCTTCGTCTGGTGCCCTGACTTTTGCAGTTGCTGCCTGGGGACTCCTCTCCATCACCGGGCTCTGGTGGCCTGCTGGACTGACGCTCACAGGTCCTGCAGAACTAAGACCGACAGAGAAGGAGTTCTTCAACAGCCACCATCCCTAGGGCTCAGCAAGAGGCAACAGGCCCAGGGGCGCGCGCAGTCTAAGAAGCCTATTAGCGATCACAATTGCTGCGGCGGATGGGGCAGGTTTCTAATGACATTAACATGCCGGTAGGGTCTGCCCGGAAACCTTCCCTGAGACCTTGGAGGGCGGGCAGTATTTCCGTCCTCTCTCCTGCTGTGCTTCACAGCACCAGCATCTCTGGTAACTTGAGGGGAACTTGGAGAAGCATCTCGTGCCCCAGTTTTGACATCGGGTACCCTGCATTTTGGAGCTGCCTCCTAGGGGATAGCCCTTAGTCACCTGGCTCTGGTGGCCAGGGGGCTTTGGGTCCGGGGGCTCACGAGACTGCATGAGTCAGAGAGAGAGTTCTTAGATGGCTGCCACCCCTGCACACTGCACACAGAGAAGACTGGAACGTTCTGGGAAAGAGGCCTAACTGCTTGTCCTAAAGCTTTGGCCTGGGGGGCAATCTTCAAGTCTGGCACACATCTAGAAGCTCCAGAGCTGCTCCCAGGGAGCACAGGCCAGGTGATGCTATCTTTGTGTTCTCCCACCTCACCACAGCTCACCAGGACCTCTCAGAAACGAGCTTGTATGCTCAGCAAGTCCCGAGTTTTGCAACTACCACCCACAGGATGCCTCCATGTTCCCCAGCTGTGCGGGTCAGTGGGACTCACATCTGCAGACCCATATGACTGTACATATTTCCATTCTCTTAAAGCTGCTACCTGAGGGTCTAGTTTCCAATCAGCCTGAACCCAGGTGCTGAATGAGATCCTGCCCTTTGGGACATTAACTGGGCCTGGCATATTCTGAAGTCCTGGGAACCATAAAAGCTAAAACAGGCTGCTTGGATAATTACAAAAGTTTGGGAAACAACCAAGAGCTAGGACAGGGTTGAAGGAGAAGTTTCATCTCCTACACAAGGCCAACCCTTCAAGACTGGGAGGAAATGCTCTTTCATCAGGCAAAGAGAGTCAAGCAAAATGAAGAACAGAGGACTGCATTCCAAACAAATTAGATAAAACTCTTAAAGGACCTAAACGGAATGGAGAGAAGTAATTTTTCTGAAAAAGAGTTCAAAGTAATGGTTCATAAAGATGCTCACCAAACTTGGCAGAGGGATGGATGAACACAGTGAGAACGTCAACAAAAAGTTGGAAAATGGAAGGAAGGAGCAAACAGAAATCACAGAGCTGAAAAAACAAAAACTGATCTTGATACACTATAGGGGTTCAACAGGCAAACTAGACAAAGCCGGACCAATGAACTCGAAGACAGGACAGAGGAACTCCCCCAACAGAGCAGCGGAAAGAGTAAAGAAGGAAACAAAGTGAAGATAGCTTAAGGGCCTTCTGAGACAACACTGATAAGACTAACATTTACATTATATGAATCCCAGAAGGAGAAAGGGCCAGAAAACTTATTTGAACAAATAACTGAAAACTTTAATAACCTGGGGAAGGAAAGACACACAGATCCAGAAGGACAGTGAATTCCAAATGAAATAAATGCAACAGAGAAGCCCATACCAAGACACATTATAATTAAAATGCCATCAGTTTAAAAAAAAAAAAAAAAGAAAGAATATCTTAAAGGCAGCAAGAAAAAAAATAAATAACTTGTTACATACAAGGAGACCCCATCGGACTATGAGCACATGTTTTCAGCAGAAATGTTGCAGGCCACAGAGAGTGGCAGAATATATTCCAAATACTGAAAGAAAAAGACTTCCAACCAAGAATATGCTATTTGGCAAAGTTATCACTCACAACTGAAGGGCAGATAAAGAGCTTTCCAGACAAGCAAGAGATAAAAAAGTTCATTACCACTCAACCGGTCTTACAAGAAACGTTAAACGGACATCTTTAAGCTGGAAAAAAAACAAAAGGGGGGGACTGCTAATTAGTAACAACAAAACGTATAAAAGCATAAATCTCATTGGTAAAGGAAACTATATATTAAAGGAGTATGTGAATCAAGTGTGAAGCTAGTGTAAAGATCTCAAAAAAGGAGTAAGGTAACTGCGACTATAATAATGAGCTAAGGGGGTTGCCTGGGTGGCTCAGTGGGTTAAGCCTCTGCCTTCCGCTCAGGTCATGATCCCAGGGTCCTGGGATTGAGCCCCACATCGGGCTCTCTGCTCGACAGAGAGCCTGCTTCCTCACCTCTCTGTCTGCTTGCGATCTCTCTCTCTGTCAAACAAATAAATAAAATCTTTAAAAAAAAAAATAATAATGAGCTAAGGGACGCACAAGACAAAAAGATATAAAAAGTAACCAGCAAAATGGAAAAAGGGGGGGGGGGGTGGAGTGTAAAAATGTACAGCTTCGAATGAGTTCACACTTAAGTTGTTATAAACCTAAAATAGGCTACTATGACAGTAAGTTGTTATACTTAAGCCTCATGGTAACCACAAAGCAAAAAGCCGTAGTAGCTAAAAGAGCAATAATGAGAAAGGAAGCATGCCACTAAAGAATTCATCAACCACAAAGAAAGAGAGCAAGAGAAGTAGAAAAAAAAAAAGAATGAAAAAACAGCCAGAAAATAATGAACAAAATGGCTACAAGTACATACTGATCAATAATTACTATAAATGGATTAAATTCACCAACTAAAAGACACAGAGAAGCTGAAAGGGTAAAAACAAAAGAAGACCCAACTATATGCTCCCAATAAGAGACCCATTTCAGACATAAGAACACACACAGACTGAAAGTGAAGGGATGGAAAAAAATGTTCCACGCAAATCAAAACCAAAAGAAAGCTAGGGTAGCTCTACTTTCGCCAGACAAAATACTTCAAAAACAAGACTGCAGTAAGAGACAAAGAAAGGCATTACATAATGACAAAGGGGTCAGTCCAAAAAGAGGATATAGCACTTACAAATATTTAGGCACCAACATAGGAGCCCCTAAATATATAAACCAAATATTAAAGGACCTAACAGGAAATAGAAATACGACAGTAGGGGACATCAGTACCCCTACTTACACCAATGGATTGATCATCCAGACAGAAGATCAATAATGAGGAAACATCAACCTTAAACCACACATTGAGCCAGAGGGAAATAACAGACATATACAGAATGTGTGTGTATGTGTACGTATGTATGTATGTATGTATGTATGTATATATATAAATTCAACATCCATGCATGATCAAAACTCTCAACAGAGTGAGCGCAGAGGAAACACAGCTCAACATAATAAAGCCTGAATGTGACACACACATAGCTACATCATACTCGGTGGTGAAAGCTGAAAGCCTTTCCTCTAAGGTCAGGAACAAGACAAGAACACTGCTCTCATCACTTTTACCAACATGGTACTGGATGTCCTAGCCAGAGCAAGTAGGGAAGAAAAGAAACAAAAGGCATCCAAAATGGAAAGAAGTGAAACTGTCACTATTTGCTGATGTTTATGTACAGAAATTTCTATGTAGAAAACCCCAAAGAGTCCACCAAAAAACTGTTAGAATAAATGAATTCAGTGAAGTTGCAGGATACAAAATCAACAATACAGAAATCTGTTGCATTTCTCTACAGTAACAAGCCATCAGAAAAAGAAATTAAGAAACAATCCCATTTTTAAAAAGTCCCATTTACAATGCACTGGAAAGAATAACATACCTAGGAATAAACTTAACCAAGGA